TTGTTTTTGTCAAAACAATCTTTTAATCAGCTTATTGTTAAAGGAGACCTATTATACTGCTTTTCCAGTCCTATATTGTAGTTCTGTGACACCTGTTTGGCAGCTTTGCATGACTCAAAGTTCAAAGAAATAATTATATACTGGCTCTTCATGTAGGCCTTCATTTCAGCCTCTGTCTGAAACGAGCTGTAGATGCTCCTGTCTCTTTAAGGCCCCCCCTCTCAAAGCCCACTGTCTTCCGATTGGCTAAGACCTGGTTGTTGTTGCTGGGCAGAACAGGCAGACTGAGCGTTGCCGTTGCTTTGGGTGCAAATGACCATATATGGAACAGCGGCTCCGTCTGGCTCCTGGTGTCGTATTACGGAGCCGTTGGTATTAAAAGCAGTTGACAACAGAGCGTTCAGAACAGGATCTGAGGTTTTTGCTCACAGGGATTTCTTATAAATACTTAAACCTCATTTTTTGAAGCTTTGGCCATGTTTAGCATGAACATCCAACATTATAACATTGTAGATAAGATGTGGAAAAGCATAATAGGTCTGCTCTAAAGCTTTCCAAAACGCCTCTCCCCGTGTGGAATATCTCTTGCCAGAGAAAGGAGTTAAGAACGCTGAGTTGCTTTTACTTCTTGACTTTAAACACATCACACGCATGATGATTTCTGCCAGTTGGAATGATTTCCTGCTCTGAGATGTTTAATAAACACGGAACGTCTTGACCATCAACCTCTGACGCACCTCTGCACACAGCTTCTCTTAAGTTTTGACCTCTACTCTCGGCTGGATCAGCTGACTACAGGATGCTTGCTTCTGTTTCCTCAAACTGCAGTCCTGTTTTGGACTGTCTTGGCCACCATACATTTGTGTGACTGGCATCAGGTCTGCCTGCTGGACTCCTCATTATTTGCTTTTCAGAGACGTCTGCGTCTTTTATATCATTTTGGAAGCCCCTGTACAAAAAGAGGTAGAATGTGTGATTTCAGATCAGAGGAAAGGGTTAAATTTCAACAGAGGTCAAAGGTCAAATTTGGTATTTTTTGGGGGTGTGAACACTGAACGTTTCTGTGGTGAAGAAGAGCGGTAAAGATGTCAGTAAACCAAACTATGCACAGTGCAAACAGGCGACCGTCATCACTGCTGATAAAGTGTAAACAACACAATGTTTTACTAGAGGCCACGAACACAACACGCCACTTACCTGAACGCTACAGACTGGATCTATCTACTCATACAGCTGCATAACAAAGTCAGTGGGAGTCAACAGTAAAGAGTAGAAAGGATAAAAAACTCAAAGCAGATTGTCTCTTCAAGTCGCCCGGAAAGCAAACCGAACCAGAAACTTCCAGTTTTACAGCAACATGAACGTCCGAAGCAGCACGCAGGAGCTCCGACGCAAAAAGAAGGGGAAGAAGAAGAAGCAGGAAAACCAGAGCGAGATGAAGCTGCTGTCTCTCCGCCATGTTATCAAAGTTTAATAAAATACAATCAATCAGCTCCGTCCTGGGCGTCCGAGGAAAAGTTCACCGTCTGTACCAGAGAAGAAGAAGAAGTAGCCGGCGAGGAGACCAGGGTCTCTGTTTGTCCCAGATCAGGACTCTTGTAGTCTTTGTCTTTGACGGTGAGGCGTTCAAACAGATATCAGTCTCATGTTTGGAGCTCAAAAAACCAGAAAGTTATTTCTATGTCTATGTCTGTTTTCGATGCAACATGCTAAGCTAGGCTAACGGCGTCAGTGCTGCGTCTCAATTCACGCCCTCAGTACTGTGTTCACAACAGGAAGTGTGGCAGAATGTACTCATAACCGTCACAAAGTTGAGTGTGGAACGCTGGACACTTCCAACCCGTCCACATCCCAAGACCGCTCGGTGTTGCTTTTTAACACCCTTTAGTGTCTTTTTCTTTTCTTCATGTGTAGGGCGCCGCGGTCAGATAAGCAAGAATAAAAATGCAGCATCCGGTTAGACTTTCAAAATAAAACTAGTGGGTAAGGTAGAATAACGTTTCAATTTGTGTTTTTTCCAAAAATCTTATAACCACATCAGTGTGCGAACTCTACATGGCTTTGGGGGAGCTCAATTTTTTGTCCCTGTGACGGGGAGGAGGGCGACCAACTGTGATTCTTACTGCTGAATCATTAATAGCAGCAAGCATGTATACGCCAGGTGATCGTTCCCTCTGGCTGAAGTCTGACGCTCCGCATGATCTGTAGAGATTAATATAGAGTTTAATGGCAATAAAGCATGCTGTCAATATTTTAGAGACCCCCCCGAAATATCATAGCTTTCTAGGTGCCTCTTTCTCCCAAGCATGTTGTGTTCGTCACCAGAGTTCGCATCCTCCACAGTAACGTTTTCCTCGCGCACCAGGCGTCGCCCCGTTCAGCCAGCATTCAAAGCACTGGGAGAAAAAAATACAGCTGAATGAACAAACTGTTCATTTAGAGGGAGAAAATCTGGCCTGTAATATTTTCTCTCCTCATTATACTGACAAAAAGAAAGAGAGATTTTATTAACGTTTTTATTTTATGAATTACATTTTAGTCTCGTCATTTTTCGTCAACAATATTGCATGTTATTATAGTCACAGTCAGCTTCTGAGGACATTGTCGCCATCTCGTCTTTGTCTCGTTTTCGTCGGGGACAAAAAGGTTGTTGACGAATATATTTCGTTTAGTTTCGTCTGACGAAAGTAACACTACGCCCTAGGGTGAAAATGGGCTGATGCTTCTCAGTATCAACTGTTGCCATCTTGGTGGAAAGCCTGAGACCATCAACGTATTTTCAAACATGGCAGAAAATGGCGGCATAGGAAGCTGCAGGGGTTGCGATAGTAAAAGTAAAACATTTATTTTTATTCTTTATATATATATTTTTAATTCTTTATTAATAAAACTGACTGGAAGTCAAGCCGGCAGATTTACGTTGTCTAGTAATGCCAATCCGCCCGGTTAGAATTCACCATGAAGAAGAAGGAGAACAAGCAGCGTCCAAATGCTGTGATTGTCATTTCCGGGTTGGCGCACCACGTCCTTCGATTTGAGACAATTGTAATGCCGAAATGAACTCACTATGCAAGTAAGTACACCGAGTACTGCATGTTGGTGTAGTGAAGGAAGAACTGAGACGCAGCTCCGGACGCCAGATCTGTACTCAACTCACATACATGAGATTGATGAACTCAAAAAAAGTGAAAAAGTGTATTTCTCAAAATGTTGAACAGTTCCTTTAAAGTGACAGTAAACTACAGACGGGACTAAGTTTGTAACCAAAATAAAGCTGAAGACAAAACCAGGACCAATCAGACTGAGGTTCCGTGATCTGGATTACACTCCTGAATGTAGGAGAATCCGGCACAGTCACTAAAATGTTTGACCCCCTTTAATCTATTTGATCTGGATCAATGACAACTCATATTAATGCAGCAGAACACTTACAGTCAGGCTGCTGTCATTATTTAGACGCCACTGAAGGTGCTCTGTTATTATAAAGGGCAGGAATAGTTAGACGTGGAGGAAGATTTGTGATTTTTGATATATAAATGATGTTGACTTGAATAGATCCCTGTGCAGCTGCTACAGATGAAGTGTCTCAAATCTTTTGATGTTTACTTTGAAAGCTTTAGGAGCCTGCTTGTCCCAGTACACATGAGTTTTTCTGAATCTCTACACCGGAGGTGGCGAGTGCAAAGTTAGCATAGTTAGAATAATAAACCGGTGCAGATGTGAAGGTCTGTGATCGGGCGTCATCATCCAGGTAAGGTATCCAGACACAGATCAATGCAAAGCTTCATCTGGTTGCAAACGGGCTAATTTACACGACACTTCAGTCCGAGAGCTGAACCTCCGTTACTGTGGCAAGAAGAGCAACCAAACACAGGAAGAGACGCCGTTTTAGTTTGAGGAGTTTAAGCTTTTCTGATGGTTAGCATGCTTCACAAATGCAGTGGGATATTGTCACATGACATGAAACTGTCATGAGGAGTCTAGTTCAATGATCAGGAGGGCAGAGCCAGCTAACAAGCTAACATGCCACAGAAGTTAAGTCCTGTTCCCAACAGAAAGTTGCCTCATCACTACGTCGTCTTTGCACAATATGTGGAGTTCTCCTGACAAAGCAATTACTACATGGCTCGGTGGTGAGCTAGGTACCAAGCTAACTGCTAACCCGCTACTCACGGCCGCCCGCTAAGCTAGCTGCTACTGTCAGTTAGCAAATTTTGTTTGCTTGGTTTAAAATGCTGCTATGACTGAACTTTAACATGTTAAAGATTCACCGGAGCAGCATTGTGTTTGTTGATGCTGATCCAGCTTCAGGTCAACTCAGGAGTCCAGTAAGTTCTTCGGTTAACCCAAAGTGTTATCTAGCATGCTATCTTAGCTAAGAGATGCTAGCTAGACTGAAGTAGCAAGAGTTAGCAGAAGAAGTCTTTACTGCTGTCTGTAATTCGCGACTTTCAATTATAACAATAAATGACATATTATATGATTAAGATCAGTGTTGGGGAGTAACTAGTTACATGTAATTTCATTACATATTTGAATTAGAAAATAAATGTCTGTAAGAGTTACTGGAAAAACATGTGAAATTAAATTACAGTTACTCCTGAAAACGTTAATGATTACACTGGGGGTTACATCTGAATATTTTCAGTAATAAGCTCGGCTATATGTTGAATAATATTAATTTTGTTGCTTTGCGTGTTTTTCATGTGCACACTGTCTTCCTTTGCTGTTTCCAGCCACAGCTGTTCTGATGCTTCTGATTGGTTCTCCGCCCATCTGCCAGTTTAACTGCCTCTCAAGCTGTCTTTAGAAAATGATTAACAGCCGAAAACATTCATTAGAAATTTAGAAAAGTAATCAAAAAGTACTTAAATTTAATAAGTTATATTACTTTAATAAAGTAATTTAACTATTACATTTTAAATTGCATCACAATCGATTACCTATTACATTTAGAAAATAACCTTTCCAACACTAATTAAGATTGTAATGTATTTTATAAAGAAAAAGGTGTAATTCTCCAGCGATATGGCAAATTTACCAGATAGAGAAATTGTGAATCAGATTGTTAAAACATTTGTCGTTTTGCTTGCAGCTAGAAAACTAGCATTTTACATGTTTTAACAATTATCTCTAAATACGTCTGTATTTATTAGAAGACAGAAAGAGTCATAAGAAAATCTAAATGATGTTTAAACGAGAGAAGCCTTTCTTTCTGTCCAGTGGCAGCACTTCTTGACGCGCCTAGTTGTTTTTCTTACCACAGCAACAAGAGCAGATTAAATCACTCGTAAATTCTAATGTGGGCCAAGTGCTTTTTGTTTTTCACGTCCTGAATCATCTCCAGCCTTCGTACTGAAACCCTGCAGCTCAACTGTCCAGGCTGCAAAAGTACCCTACAAACCCTCAGTGAGGACATATCTGTTAGCATGTTAGCTGCAGAGCTACAGAAATGTGAGTTGTACTGGTTATGTTAGCTCTGGATGTTACAGATTATTTAGGTTCTGGTGTAATTGGGTCCCAATAAATGATTTTAGAGTTAATGGAAGGCTGAACCTCGTTATTTCTGGGATTTTTGTGTGAAACTGAAGCAGAGTGAAGCGTCTCCGCTCTGTTTGTCAGGAAATCATTGGCAGTGGGCGGTCTTACTGGCTGGCTCCGCCCCCGGCATGAAGCCGTTGCTGAGGGTGTTGGGATTCGGAGGCGTGGCCACCGAGGGCGTGGCCTCAACCCAGGCGGCAGGCCCTACCACGGAGTAGCTCTTCTGCGGCAGTCGGGGCTGAACCAGCATGGATTTGGAGACGACGGACGCCTGACGTAGCCCGTCGACACGAAGCGGTGGTCTGATGGGGGCGGGGCCTGTGGGCGTGACATCAGAGGTGGGTGGTTTGGGGCTGCATGGAGGGGAGGGGCTGAGGGCACTTTGGTCGCCGGGCTTTGATCCGTCTTCCTGAGGGAGCTGCTGATCAGGGGGCAGGGCCTCTTTGTCTGCAGGGGCGGGGCTTGTTGACTCTGGGGGTGGGTCCTGCTGCATGCTGCTCTGCCTGGATGTCCCCGAGCCTGGAATCTCACAGCTGTCAGTACGACGCCGCGAGCCCTCGTGCATCCGACTGGTGGCCACGACGGCCTTCATGGCAGCCTGTTGAAACACACGCATTCACTATTAACATACACACACTAAACATTTCCTTATATAAACACTGCAGTAAAGTTTGTCTCCAGAAACATGTCTTACATTTCTAAGATCAAACTCTAGAAACGTTTCCTACAGCAGGAACAGATCAGTGTTGTGTCAACCCACTGAATCCTTGGCAGTTGTTGCTGAGTCTCCGCTCAGTGTTCAACACCGAGATCCGTCCTCACCTTAAGTTTGCGTCGAGCGTTGAACTCCTGTAGTTTCCTCTGGGTGGTGTCCATGTGGGAGAAGCGGGCGGCTTTGCCCAACACCAGGGGTGGTGCAGAGCCTCTCGGACACTGAGGCGCTTGTGAGGGTCGAGGACGATCAGCTTACTGACCTGCAGACAGATAAACAGAGTCCAGACAAAAGAGTCCAGACAACCTGTCAGGAAGGAATCCTCTCCAGGTAGCACTGATTGTTGGAGAGGTCCAAGACAAGTCTCAAGTCCCTCCAAGACATTCCAGACAATTCAAAGTTAGGTCTCAAGATATTTGAAATAGGTCAAAGTAAAGTGCTTCCAGACAAATCGAAGTCATTCGGAACAAGTTCAGGTCTCAAGCCATTCCAAAATAAATCCAAGTCTTTCGAGATTGTCAACTGTCAAGCCATCATGTCTTGAGACGTTCAGCACAAGTCTCACAGAATAGTTCAACAGGAGTCTCGAAAATTCCGTTTAAACTCCTTTACTACAAGTCTACGGTCTCAAGTCTTTATCCTACTCATTCAAAACAGGTCCAAGTCATTCAACACCAACAAAAGTTGAACATTAACTCAAGAAACAAGTTCAAATCAAAGTTATTTAAGTCAAGTCCAACTCAAGTCTTTAGCCAATAGAGACAAGTTCAGTCATTCCAGACAAGTCTCTAGTCAAGACACGTTTTAAGGTATCCCTAAGGGCAAGTCATACGAGACCAGTCTGAGAAATTCAAAACTAGTCTCAAATAATTCTAAAACAAAGTCAAGCCATTGAAACAGGTCAAAGTAAAGTCTCAAGTCATTCACACTAATTCAAAGACAAGTCTAAAGTAATTCCAGACAAGTACAACTAGAGTATCGAGCCATTTCAGACAAGTCCAAGTCAAGTATCATGTCATTCGGTAATCCAAGCCATTCAAGACAAATCCACGATTCAAGTAAACCCAGATAGGTTCCAGACATTAAAGAAAAGTAAAGAAGGCAAGTCTAAAGTCTAAAGCAAGTCATTCCAGACAAGTCCAATCATTTAGTCAGTCTTTCAGGTCAGTGACGTTGACACTGACACAACTGAACATTTGGTGCATTCTCACAATCAGGTGTTATATGTAGACACATACAGTTTTTATCAATTTGCTGTCAGAGCTTTTCCACTGTTGTAAGACTGTGTCTGATTAGCTTAGCATGCTACATGTCAGGATGTCCGGAGGACGAACAGGGGAACTCACCAAATCCTTGGCATTGAGGGAGACCTCGTCCCACCACGGAGACACAAACTCGTAGTCGCAGTTGAGGATACGGCTGTACATGTACTGATCCCCCCTCGGGTCAAAGAAGGGCTCGAACCCACAGAGTCTGGGGAAAAGCTCACAGTTAATGCTACAGGTACTCAAGTTCATAACATGACCAGGGTTCGAGTTACGTGGGAGCTCAGCCCCCATAAGGAGGTCTGAGCTCCCATGGAAGCAGTAAAATCATGCGTCGGTGGGGGTCTCTAATTCATTTGTCAACAACCATTACTTTGAATCACAAATGTATTTATCATTGTAATTAGTACCATTATTTACATTAAAATATAAACAGACTTAAATTAACATGTTTTCCTAATGAACTACGTTATCCAACGAAGATTGAGGTCCAGGGCAACTGGACTTTCGTCCTTCATCCGAGAGACGTCTTCAGTTCTGACTGACTGGCAGGGAAACTCTATTTAACCTCAGTGGGGTCGTTTGCCAGGATCTTCGATACCGCTGGTTCGTTAGTGTTCCTGGCTGTGGTAACGACAGTCATCATGGTCGTTAGAACCACCGTGGCCAAGACTGAACGACCATCGTTGGTATCTTCACCTGAGGCCAAGTCTGAACGACCATCGTTGGTATCTTCACCTGAGGCCAAGACTGAAGGACCATCGTTGGTATCTTCACCTGAGGCCAAGACTGAAGGACCATCGTTGGTATCTTCACCTGAGGCCAAGACTAAAGGACCATCGTTGGTATCTTCACCTGAGGCCAAGACTGAAGGACCATCGTTGGTATCTTCACCTGAGGCCAAGACTAAAGGACCATCGTTGGTATCTTCACCTGAGGCCAAGACTGAAGGACCATCGTTGGTATCTTCACCTGAGGCCAAGACTGAAGGACCATCGTTGGTATCTTCACCTGAGGCCAAGACTGAAGGACCATCGTTGGTATCTTCACCTGAGGCCAACAGGTTACGTTTGTTGAGTTTCCTGGGAAGTGATGAAAGGACAGCATTGTAAGTGGGGGATAAGTGGTGGCGTAGACCCCCTCCCCTGTTCAATGACGGCTTCTCCACCCTGGTGTAGATGGCTTCCTTGACACCTCTTTCAAACCATCCATCTTCTCTGTCTAAAATGTGCACCTGGTGGTCCTCAAACGAGTGTCCTCTGTCCTTCAGATGTAAGTAGACAGCAGAGTCTTGACCTGAGGAGTTGGCCCTTCTGTGTTGAGCCATGCGTTTGTGTAGTCGTTGTTTAGTCTCCCCAATATACAGGTCTGTGCATTCCTCACTGCATTGGACCGCATACACTAGATTGCTTTTCTTGTGTTTGGGTGTGCGGTCTTTGGGGTGGACCAGCATCTGTCTTAGTGTGTTCTTGGGTTTAAAAAACACAGGGATTTTATGTTTGTTGAAAATCCTCCTGAGTTTCTCTGATACTCCAGACACGTATGGAATCACAATGTTGTTGCGTTTGACCTTCTTTTCCTCCCCTGTAGTTTTGTTCTTCTTGGATCTTGTGGCTGTTTTCACAAAGGTCCATTTAGGGTCTCCACAGGCTGTAAGTGCCCCCTTCAGGTGCTTCTGTTCCTTCTCTCTGGCTTGGGCGCTTGTTGGTATGTTGTCCGCTCTGTGGTGCAGGGTTCTGTCGACCCCTAGCTTATGTTTCAGTGGTAACTGTCGTTACCACAGCCAGGAACACTAACGAACCCGCGGTATCGACGATCCTGGCTAACGACCCCAGAGCCTAAGTAGCTGAGTTTCCCTACCAGTCAGTCAGAACTGAAGAAGTCTCTTGGAGGAGGAACGAAACATCTTCTAGTATCTTCAACCAAGTCCAGTTGCCCTTGCATTTTACTCTTTGGTGTACCGGGACTTTTTCTTGCGTACTGGCACACTGTCGGTCCTCTCCTCTGCCCTCGCCATATCAGGTTCTCTGGGCGCTACGTGACGCTCAACTGTTCCGTTCTCACTTGCCTGCTAATCTCTGTCGGCGGAAAGAGACGAGGGAGAAGAGAAGCTCGGTGCGTCTCAAGCAGCCGTGTGCTGAATGTAGCTCGTCAATGTCACTTTTCGTGAACCGACCAATCACAGCCCGGATGGGGCGGGACATTTAAACATTTTGACAGATAGGTGTCATTTACACTGGGGACGCTGGGGACAGGTCAGACTGTCTCCATCACTTTTTGAAAGCTTTTGTTAAAAAATGTTCTGAAAAACAGCAACAAGAACAAATAAAACACACTATGAACACGTTACTGAAATATAGAAGAAACAAATGTTCATCGTCCAAAAAAGTAACTTAAGCTAAAACAACAAGCTGCTGATTTCTGCTTTATATTCCATTATATTTTTATATTTTGAATTGTCACCTGCCACCTTTTTTGTTTCCCTTCATATAAATAAAGACATTTCCACCATAAATTGTCACAGAAAGTGTCTCCAGAATGCAGGAAATTAAGTGTTTAATGCTTAAAGTCTTTTTTGTTCAAATTACTGTTAGAATATCTTTGCGTCTTGTTCTTGTGACCCAAATGTGTCGTCACACCCCTAATCTGATCCCTATTTATTTATTAATTTATCTCGGCCGGTAACGTTAGTTAGTAGGCTATATTAGAGACCCCCACGAAGCTCAGATTATAACTCGAACCTTGAACATGACTCATGTAAAGCTCTTAGGCTTGTGATTTGGCAACAACCAAGAATTGAAAGCTTAAGGGATGAATGATCTCCATAAGCTAAGAATGTCACACTTACACTGCAGGTCAAAATGATTAGAACGCCGCCATGTTTGTAGTTCTTCTGTAAATCTAAGTAGTTCAGTGAAAAACCATAAATGAAGTTAAAAACCAAAACAGACATTTTCAGATCTAAAATTAACAATTAAATGAAGGAGTTCATTGTTCATTAAAAATGTTCATTATTTCACTGTAGGATCAACTGATGATCCTACATATATATATTTATATATATCTGGGGTGGTGTTGGTGCAGTGGATAAGACGCATGCCTTTGCTGGAGAGACGTGGGTTCAATTCCACCATGTGTCCCTGAGCAAGACACTTAACCCCTCGTGGCTCCAGAGGCGTGCGACCTCTATATAGCAATTGTAAGTCACTTTGGAGAAAAGCGTCAGCTAAATGAATAAATGATATATCATATATATAGATCACTTCACTGTTAAATTTCAGAGATTTACAATTTTCAGGGATCAATAATGAGTTAACAACTTCAAGTTATTCTGCAGCAGGGGAAGGAAAGTAAACACCTTGAAACAGCTTGTTAATCCACCCTCAGAAGCTTAATTTGTACAATATAAAATATATTATAAATAATCGTAATGAAGGCAGACAGAGCAGCTGGTCATCGGTTGGTCCTTCTGTGAAATAATGAACCAAACTCCTTCATTTAATTGTTTATTTTAGATCTGAAAATGTCTGTTTTGGTGACGTAAATGTTGTTTTTAACTTTAGTACCATTTAAGGGTTTTCACTGGACTTGAACTACTTGAAAAATAGCCGTATTCTAACCATTTTGACCGGGTAGTTAATGTCACATTTAAACTGAGCAAATGTCCACTTGCAGAAAAGGTAAAAACCAGCGCAGTGTGTTGTTGTTGACTCAGCTGAGAGTAAACATCAAACCCATTTGAAGGCACCATTAACACATCGCCTTTAATGGCTATTAGGAGACAGGCGGATGATCCTACAACTTTAAATGTAAAATCCGTACTGACAGTAATGAGTCAGTACTGAATCACTTCATTGTGTGTGTTTGTGTGGAGGCTCGGTTGGGAGGGAGGTGTTAAAGGACTCACAGGATGTAGAGGATGACGCCCACTGACCACATGTCCACCTCAGGGCCGTAAGCATTTCCCCGCAGGATCTCAGGAGCTGCAGGCAGAGGAGCCTGTTAGCCGCCAGATGGCTGACAGAAGCTCTAACAGCGAGTAATGTGAAATCCCACAGGGCAGCGGTGGCTGTGAACGCATCACTGACCACTACCACTCATCACAGTAACACAGGTCATTAAAGATGTCTACTACACATATTATACCATCTACTACTGCTACTACACCATCTACTACTGCTACTACACCATCTAATACGGCTACTACACCATCTAATACGGCTACTACACCATCTACTACTCTTACTACACCATCTACTACTGCTACTACACCATCTACTACTTCTACTACACCATCTACTACGACGACTACACCATCTACTACGACGACTACACCATCTAATACTGCTACTACACCATCTAATACTGCTACTACACCATCTAATACTTCTACTACACCATCTAATACTTCTACTACACCATCTACTACTGCTACTACACCATTTACTACTGCTACTACACCATCTAATACTGCTACTACACCATCTACTACTGCACCATCTACTACGACGACTAAACCATCTAATACTTCTACTACACCATCTAATACTTCTACTACACCATCTACTACGACGACTACACCATCTAATACTTCTACTACACCATCTAATACTGCTACTACACCATCCACTACTGCTACTACACATCTAATACTGCTACTACACCATCTACTACTTCTACTACACCATCTATTATTTCTGCTACACCATCTAATACTTCTACTACACCATCTACTACTGTTACTAAACATCTACTACGACGACTACACCATCTAATACTTCTACTACACCATCTATTATTTCTGCTACACCATCTAATACTTCTACTACACCATCTAATACTGCTACTACACAATCTAATACGGCTACTACACCATCTACTACACCATCTACTACTTCTACTACACCATCTATTATTTCTGCTACACCATCTAACACTGCTACTACACCATCTACTACGGCTACTACACCATCTACTACGGCTACTACACCATCTACTACTTCTACTACACCATCTATTATTTCTGCTACACCATCTAACACTGCTACTACACCATCTACTACGACTACTACACCATCTACTACGGCTACTACACCATCTACTACTTCTACTACACCATCTATTATTTCTGCTACACCATCTAATACTTCTACTACACCATCTACTACTGTTACTAAACATCTACTACGACGACTACACCATCTAATACTTCTACTACACCATCTACTACTGTTACTAAACATCTACTACTTCTACTACACCATCTATTATTTCTGCTACACCATCTACTACTGCTACTACACTTTCTACTACAGAAACTACATCATTAACTACAGCTACTACACCACCCAGTATTCATACCCATGTAGTACTACAACTCTGTCGCAGTGTAGTGGAGGTGGTAAACTCACCGCAGTACCCTGGTGTACCACAGACGGTCTTCATGGTGACCTGGTCATCGACGATTTTGGAAAGACCAAAGTCAGCTGTAAATAAAAGAAAATCAATTTATTGTTTCTTTAACTGTAGAGGTTTGCAGATGAAAGATAGTTCTTGCATCGACGTGTTTCTGCTGTTTCCTGTTTGTATTTACAGTGAATGAGGGGGTGAAGCAGTGGAAGGTGGAGGCGGAGGAGAATGTGTATCACTGCAGGAGAGTCTCTAAACTAAAGGAAGGTGTTGGCGGAGGAGTCTCGCTGAAGCACAGTGGAGGCTGAATGTGAGCTGCTTCCATCTGTAACTGTTAGCCGGAGGTCCACCGGCCATCTGGAGCTTCTCCTGCTCCGCCAAATAAATGGACCAGACGACAGCGCCGGGCTTCTGTTACACATTCAGACTGAGGGGTCTGTACAAACTAAAGAAAGGAGAACTAGAGACCATCTTGTGATGCCACATCGGTGTGCATGGTGCAACCAGATTTCCTCACTATGACTAACCGTCCTCGCAGGATCATCCTCTAACCTGTTAGCTGTTACATGCAGATGTTTCGCTTTTTTTTCCTGGTTTGATACAACAACTGTCCGGCATTAAACACGGTCAGCCATACAGTCACTAAAACAAATGTGGGCCAGGCAGTGATTCCCACAGGATTTTATGAGACTCCGGTGGTGGACCTCGCACCCTCGAGGGGGTAACCCCACCCCAGGGAAACAATTTGTAAACATTAAAGTTAAATGCATTAATCTGGTGCAACCCAAATCAATCAATCAATCTCTCTTCAGGTCTTCTTGTCTTTGTAAAGAGAGAAATTGATAGAATAAAGTGTCTAACCTGCCTGTCAGCTGCTCTGTGACCTTTCATTTACCAACAATACGTGTGCACTCCAAATTCAGGTACAGCTAGTTTCACGGGTTTGATCCCTTAGTAAACGTCACCGTACTGACGTGTGCGAGCTGACGGCAGCGGGCCAAACACAACGTTAGAGGTCTGTAATGTTATGATGAGAAGTGTGATAATTGTTTCGCTTCATTTTGAAACTATGGCGGAACAAGTTGGACCGTGGCGGGCGCCGTTGTCTCTGTGATTAATGGGAAACACTGGGGCAACGGTCGTCAAGTGGGGGGCAGAGCAAGAAAGTTTATTTAAATAGAACAACTTGTTCATAGAAGCATTTCAGTGTGCTTTATATAGACACGAGCAAAATAAGAAGTATAACAAATAAAAAGTAGGCTACAAGGTAAATGAAAGTAATAAAAATATATCATTAAAAGAATAATAAATAGTAGAATAAAAAACATGGGGGAAGTTTCGGGACATAACAGCCCGAAGCATCACGTCCCCATCGGGCGTGACTAGAGCTTCACTTCTGGAATGACTGTGGGGTAAGAACAGAGTGCGAGTTTCCTCAATCACAGGCACATGAAAAGAGAAATGGTTTTAAGCTGGATTTAAAAATTTGGGGCACATTTAATATCTTCTGGTGATTTGTTCCAGCTGCGTGCAGAGAAGCAGCTAAAAGCAGCTTCACCGTGTTCAGTTTGGACTCCATGGACCTATGAGCCCTACTCGGTTTATAATCTTTTAACATATCAGTAATGTATTCGCACAAGTGCCGTCAAAAATATCATTATTATGCAATAACATAAAGTTCAACATCACAAAAGAGATTCTCAGTTTTCTCCAAGTTCCACAGAGGCAGTGATGGAAAGTATATTTACTGAAGTACTTTACTTTAGTATTTCTATTTTCAGCTACTCCAAACTTCTACTCCACTACATCTGAGAGGGAAAATAAATGATAATATTATTGATCCTGGGGTAAATGAACAAGCTACCCAGCAGGTCATAAAGTCATTAAAAGTAGCTGCTGCAGCATTAAAGGGATGAACACATGAATTAATCAATAATTATAATCCAGTAAATTAATGTATTATATTTCTGAAATGGGCCATTCTTTACTTTTAGTACTTTAAATATATTTTGATTTGAAATTAGGTCTTTTACTTGTAACAGAGTATTTCTAGACTTTGGTACTTCTACTTTTACATAAGTAAAAGATGTGAGTACTTCTTCCACCACTAATAAATTTTTTTGTGGCCAGAAAACTTTATTAGCTGCTAATAATTTCCCTCCATCTGTTTGAAACTTAAAAGAAAATTCCCATATTTATCAGCATGTGTATTATTCTCAAATTTGAGAAAAGGTTAATCTGAGAACAATAAACACAATAAAATACGGCTGATGTACACGTGATTACGGACAGTACATGATGTCTGCGCTCTGCTGTAGCAGCTGCAGGCTTTCCAGGCTCAGACTGAGATGATTTCTGTGGCTTTAAAGACTTTTTGGAAAGCTGCAGGATGCTTAAATCCCCAGACCTCTACATTTCTTGTTGTCCACGTTGCCCAAATCTGTGAAACTGAGGCAGTGAGTAAACTCAGCAACAGACGTGGTTACAGCAAATCTGCACAGAAAAAGTCCAGTATGGGAGTAAATCAGAGTCAGAATCATTGATCATGCAGAGACAAATGTATATAATGCAATTAGAAAACACAAAAATCCATAAACAAACTCTCCATGATCCACAAACACGATTAGAACTTTTGAATTTGAATGAAGGCGTGTGTGAGGGTCATATTATATTTATAGATTGTTTTGCATTTATTTCCAGAATTTTGACACAACTGTTTCACAAATTACAATTTCTACAAATCCACTTTTGCAAACAAACACAGTCTAACTTGTATTTTCAAACCGCTGCATGCGGATAAAATTCTGTGCAAAGCTCAACATTCAAGTGTCAAACCTGTGTCTGAGGATCGCTTCCTATTTCTCTACAAATCATTTTCACACTGGTTTACCACAAAGAGTGCGACTACGATCCACAAATGTAGTCGGCCAATCACAAGTATTGCTTCTATGTGATGTCACGTTTGAACATGCCCTTCAAAATAAGAGCTGCAACGTGTCAGAACCTTTACATCAGGGGTCGGCAAATAAATCTGGCCTCGGGCCGAATGTTTTTACAAGCCGTCACACGGCGGGCCAGAGACTCTTTCAAATGTCTTTCAGAACTTTTCAAAATAAAAGCTCTCAAAAAACTTGACATAAAGCATTGCTGCAAAAAACGTGATCGCGCCTTTTTTTGGCGGCATAATCACTTAAGAGGAAGTGATTATGTGAGTAACCTGATCTAGTTCAGCACCAGCCGCTATCAGTTTATTTATTTTTTATTTTTCTGCTATCAAAGCAATTGCAGACCAGTGGACTCGTTTGTCCAGCAGGTGGCGTGTACTCCGTGTGACGCCTCTGCTCTTCAGGGAGGAGACCAGGCAGAGAGTTTGTGCTCAGCCTGTGTATTAGAAGTACCTGGAGAACTTTCAGGGTTCAGGCAATAAACCACCTGACCCATATAACAAACAAACAAACAAAAAAACAGGAGAACTAAGTAACTAAGTACATTTACTCAAGTACAGTTCTTCAATACAGGTCTGACGTACTAGTACTTTACCAGAGCATTTGTGCAACTTTCTACTTCTTCTCCACATCTCAGAGGGAAATATTGTACTTTTTACTGCACTACATTTGTACATTTACAAGTTAAATTTGTAACTTTTAAGATTACAAATGTACATATAGATCCTTCCTGTCCTGTGAGAAACACGTATCTTTCAGCTTTGAGACGATGCATTTTCCAGCTGATCCAAGTTTAAAGAGTTTAGTTAATTGAAGGATTTTCCATAAAGGAACTCTTCATCCTGCAGTTTATCACTAACTAACTTATCACTAACTAACTAACTCACCGTCCACATGTTCTACTTCAAGATAAAGACGCCTCAACGTCTGTTTCCCTTCATAGAAAAACTCTTACATTTGTATGTATGTTGCTGTCCTGACCACAGGCTGAGTTCAATAAAGTTTCATTCATTTCGTGTCATAATCTGAAATCGTGTCGTGGTGTTACCGATCTTCAGCGGGGCGTCCAGCGACAGGTCGGCGTACAGCAGGTTCTCTGGTTTGAGGTCACGATGCACGACGCCGTTCTCATGTAGATACTGAAACACACAAAAACACAGGTTGAAAACGGGCAGTGCCCTCTAGAGGCCCGGAGGTGGGGGGGGGGGTCTGTGGAGGATTTGGCAGCATGGACTGACAGATGGCCTCTTCCTCCAGCTCCCAGCATCCCCTGCTGCGGTCTGACTCACATCCTCTTATGAGCTCAGCTTCTGTCAGCGAGGAGACCTGAACTCACTTACAAACTATAGAAGCTGATAAATCAGTCAGCGAGATTTATTTATTTTCTCTGTCCAACATTAAACTTAAGTTACAAAATGAAGATTTTCAATCTGTTACTTAATTAATCTGCATCATTGTCATGACAAATATCTCTACTGCGTTTCTTCTGCGTACTGCGTAGTGTGTACGGCGTAGTGTGTACTGTGTAGTGTGTACGGCGTAGTGTGTACTGTGTAGTGTGTAGTGTGTAGTGTGTAGTGTGTACTGTGTAGTGTGTACTGTGTAATGTGTACTGTGTAGTGTGTAGTGTGTACTGCGTAGTGTGTACTGCGTAGTGTGTACTGTGTAGTGTGTACTGTGTAATGTGTACTGCGTAGTGTGTAGTGTGTAGTGTGTAGTGTGTAGTGTGTACTGTGTACTGTTTAGTGTGTAGTGTTTAGTGTGTACTGTGTACTGTGTACTGTGTAGTGTGTACTGTGTAGTGTGTAGTGTGTAGTGTGTAGTGTGTAGTGTGTAGTGTGTAGTGTTTAGTGTGTAGTGTGTACTGTGTACTGTGTAGTGTGTACTGTGCTGTACTCGGCCTGCTGGTGTTCCTCTTTAATGACACTGCAGCGTTTCACTGCATATGAGAGTGAAAACGTGTTGAAGGAAACACGTTGTCAACACGTCCGCCTGGAGGGGTCGCCACCCTGAGTTTGAGAAACTGGTGGAAAAAAGACATTGATGTGTTCGGGGGCTGCAGGAATTTTCTGTGCTGCAGATTAACGCCACACATGTCTGATACAACTGAACCGGAATCTGAACACACACACGCAGAAACACAAACAAACATAAACACACGCAGATATAAACACACAAACATACACAGGCGTATGTTTGCCTGCGTGCTGATGTAGGTCAGCTGTGGTCAGTGTTTCTGTGTGCGCGTGTTTCTGTGTGCGCGTGTTTCTGTGTGCGCGTGTTTCTGTGTGTGCGTGTTTCTGTGTGTGCGTGTTTCTGTGTGTGCGCGTGTTTCTGTGTGTATTAATCCTCTCTGCTTTTAATCTGTTCAGCAGCAGGAAGGAAGCTGCTGTTACATAAGAGACTGCAGCGCTGCTACACGCTGCCACTACAGCGCTAACACCTGAAACACCTGCAACCGACTACAGCAACACCTGCAACTGACTACAGCAACTACAGCAACCGACTACAGCAACTCCTGCAACCGACTACAGCAACTACAGCAACACATGCAACCAACTACAGCAACTACGGTAACACATGCAACCAACTACAGCAAACTACAGCAACACCTGCAACTGACTACAGCAACCGACTACAGCAACTCCTGCAACCGACTACAGCAACTACAGCAACACATGCAACCAACTACAGCAACTACAGAAAGACATGCAACTGACTACAGCAACTACAGCAACACCTGCAACCAACTACAGCAACACATGCAACCAACTACAGCAACTACAGCAACTCCTGCAACCAACCACAGCAATGCCTACAACTGACTACAGCAACTACAGCAACACCTGCAACCGACTATAGCAACTACAGCAACACCTGCAACCAACTACAGCAACTACAGCAACACCTGCAACCGACTACCGCAACTAAAGCAACAGCAACACCTTCAACCGACTACAGCAACACCTGCAACCAACTACAGCAACTACAGCAACACCTGCAACCGACTACCGCAACTAAAGCAACAGCAACACCTTCAACCGACTACAGCAACACCTGCAACCGACTACAGCAACACCTGCAACCGACTACAGCAACACCTGCAACCGACTACAGCAACTACAGCAACATCTGCAACCAACTACAGCAACATCTGCAACCAACTACAGCAACTACAGAAATACATGCAACTGACTACAGCAACACCTGCAACCAACTACAGCAACTACAGCAACACCTGCAACTACAGCAACACCTGGAACCAAGCAAAGCAACTACAGCAACACCTGCAACCAACTACAGCAACTACAGCAACACCTGCAACTACAGCAACACCTGGAACCAAGCAAAGCAACTACAGCAACACCTGCAACCAACTACAGCAACTAATGCAACACCTGCAACTGACTACAGCTGATCTGTGCAGAACCCAGCTGATCTGTGCAGAACCCAGCTGATCTGTGCAGAACCCAGCTGATCTGTGCAGAACCCATCTGACGCCAGTGGGCATTAAAATGAAGGGCATTGGGCCTTGTTTCCCCTGAGCTGGTCTTCTCAGGCAGAGCTTCCTCCCACCCTGCTTCGACAGAACAGCAGCTTCTCTAAAGCTTCTGACGATCAATCAGAAGATTATTTTCACTCAGACTGGTAATAATCACATGTTATGATTATCTCTGACTTTGTTAATCAATTACAGTGCTTTTCCTGTCGCTGCATATTCGGCCATGTTGCTGTGAAAAGCCCGGTGTTGCGTAAGCATGTCAGTGAACGCCTCGTGTGTTTTTAATCATCAACACGTTGCCATTTAAATATGATTTTGTGGCACTTTCACGTTTGATTAAATCTGCAAAGAAACAGGAAGGCTGTGATTCATCAGCTGGAGGAGGAAGAACTCCTACACAACACAAAATCTGCTTCTGAACAGCAGCAGGAAATCAGTACAGACTTCTGTCAGAGCAGAACCATGGCAGAGGTTCCAGATGGATCGGTCCAGCCTAGCTTAGCACAGAGACTGAAAGCAGAGGGAAACTGTTAGCCTAGCTCCATCAAAAGAGAAGAAAACTTCAAGTCTGTCTGATTCACGTGTTGTATCTTGTTAGCTCACGAGCTAATCAGCTAGAAGGTATTTCTGAGCTAACAGGAAGTTAACAGAAGCTAACTCTAAGATAATAAAACCTAGAAGATAACTCTGTTGTAAAACTGGTTTTGTTGGTGTTTTGATGCTTTTTAATCTTTATAAGACTTGATTTGATCTCTAAGCTAACAGCTAACTCTTAGCTGAGAGGAACTCAAAGATCTCTCTAATCTGACAGCAGCTGACGTCTCTGTGCCTCAGATGTAAGAACAACATCAGGGAAAGAAAGTTTGAGAGCAGCTGGTTTATGATCTGTGGTTTAGCGTGAGAGACTGAACAGAGACGGAGGAAGTGAACAGTAATCTAATGATTGAAGGGACGGGTGGAGCTGGAGGATCCGGTCACAGAAGTGGCTGCTTTGTGATGAGAAGCAGAATCTCAGACGGCGCCGGATTTCCCGGCAGTGACAACAGACACTGAACACAGCAATCTTACCGCCACGGCCTCCAGGATCTGTTTGATGACGTGAGCGGCGTCTCGCTCGCTGTAGTAACCACGCTCTACGATCCTGCAACACACACAGAGAGAGGAACAGGACGTAACCTTCACCAGAGGGGACCAAAGACCGGTCTGGCCCGGACGTGGATCAGGTTTCAACTCCTCATTATTCTCCTGGGCACTTTAATCTGCTGAACCCTCAAACTCATGAAGATAATTCTGTATTTAATTGCGGCCTAAAAAACAGATCTCTCCTCAGTCTGTTCCCAACAAGTCTTTATTTTCTTATTTTAAAAGGGCCAGTGCTTTAGCCAGAAAGCTAATTTCCGTCTGTTGTCCCTGGCAGGTCGTTTCAAAGGTCAACATAATAAAACAATAGAAAGAATAATACAATACACCACAATAAACAAGCTATGCAGATCATGAGCTAGCTACTACAGTAAATCTGTTATAAAGTGCGAGATGTTAAGTTATGCAGTTTAAAGCGCTTTTCTATGCTTTAAGTGCAATTTAATGGTTTATTTTAAATCTGTGTGGAAGTGAGTCTGTAGCCACAAGCTGCTCCTTAGCAAGTAAATAAGTACATTTTTATTTATATAGCACCTTTTTAAAACCCATGTTACACAGTGCTTTCCAGAGGGGATGGGAGGTAAACACAATAAACACAAAGACAAACTAAAACAGTTTCATCGCTTACAGAAGGTTAAAATAAATGTTACAACAGCAGACAATTCAGTTCAACTCTCTAAAGTGCAATTCACAATAAAAGGAATTGCACTTTTCCCATGGAGCAGGTCCAGGAAGACTGACAAGTGTAATATTATCTGCTTCAATACTGTAGTTTTTCATCAACTCTGCCAGTACTCATTGTTACTGTTAGTATTTAATTCACCACTTTTTATCATATATATTTCTGTTAATACTGTAAAATACTGTACATATCCACACTGCTTTATATTTATATTTGTATATTTTGTTATATTTTACTATTTATTGACATAAATGCAATATAAGATCCATACCTGTGTTCTCAGTGGTGTATAAAGACCTTCCATAATGAACCGTTATGTTTTTATTACCTTAGAATGAGACATGTATATCTGCATAACCGCGGGCACCCCCTGCTGTGGACAGTGCTGTATTTTGTCGTCATGATTCTACAATAGCCGACAACGGACAATCTGTCTGTTTTCTGCTGGATAGTTAATTAACTTAAGTTTGTCAGACTTTAGCGTTGCAAATGAAAGCTGTTGTTTGATAACTTTAGCTTGAAGCTGGCCGTGAGGTGTTTTCCCTGTCAATATGTAGTTGCATTAATTTCATGGCGCCTACTTATTCTCCAGCCTGTGGTTTGGCTTGTGGTGTAAAATAGGTTGTTGGATTAGTTTCATGTAGTGACTCTCTCTCTCTCTCTCTCCAGCGCTCTGTTTGGGTTTTGTTACGTTCGTGACACAATCAGCTGATCACTAATTGGCAATAAAACGGCAGCTTCCAGCATCGGAGCTCAGATCAGCAGCTAAACATTTAATGCGCTGGTAGAAAAAACATGTAGTTAGATTGTAACTTCATGTAGTTCTTCTCCAGACTCTGTTATGGCTTTGTTACGTGGACAGAAATGTGCCGTTACCTTCGTGAGACAAACAGCTGATGAATATTATTGGTAATGAAACAGAAACAGCAGGGAAGCTCAGATCAGCAGCTAAACTTCACATCTTACTGCCCTGGTGGAAAACATGTATTTCTTTTTACTGCTAATGGTGATATATAACAAGACCGTGTGTCTATCAAGTGACCAATAATGAATACTTTCCGAATTTGCATTAAAAAAGGTGTTTTTGGATATTGCTTCCCACTGTGCACACAAATGTGTAATTTGTTCTTTCACATGCTAAATTAAAAACGTTGCACTGTTTTACCACAAGCTGAAATTATGGCTGTCAGTACTACTTTGTGTTTCTGTTGTATTTTAAAAAATTTATCTAATTAAGCAAAGTGAGAGGAGCCTTAATCCTCCCCAGCCAATGACTTTGTAAACTTTATATGAGCTTATAATGGACTGTGGTGCAGAAACAGTGAGGCTCACATTGTATCTGTCAGTGGTCAGACTTGATGCACTAGATGTGATAGTGTTTGAGAATTTCTTAGTCCAGATGAGCCAACCCTCCCAAGATGTAAAATAATGTATTACAGGAGAATGAGACATCATGCAGCACTTCATTTCTTCATGTGCTGTTTGTTAATGAAAAAGTAACATAATATTCAAAAAAACATTTGGTTTTACTGAATAATTAAGTAAATATAATGTCTTAATTTATCTGTCTAAAGAAACCTCATTTCTTGACTGGCTACACTCTGCTATCTCACAGAGGACATCTTTTGTCCTGTCTCAGGCACCGTAGCTATACAACTCACTTGGATGGGGGAGGGGTGGGGGTGCAATTTGCAACCCTCACCACTAGATTCCACTAAAACTTACACACTGAACCTTTAAGCCAAGGACCCCTAAATTATTTGATAAAACTTTATAGGATTTTTGCTTTTAGATGTTTTATTACAGAAAGATAGTCACATTATGGGTAAAACTTATAGAATTAAAGATTTTTTTAAATTGTGCCAAGCTTTCTTTTAAATTACAATTTCAAAAAGCTGCTTTGAGAACCACTGGCTGAAGCAGTTCACTTAAATACTCTGAAGCCTTATAGAGACGAGGAGATCTGGGATTGGATCCCAAATTTAATCGGAAGCGAGTTTAGCGACATCAGAATCGGGGTGATGTGAGAACGATTTGAGGTCTTAGTGACGTCCTGTTGCAGAGTTTTTGGACTAACTGCAACTGTAGTAGTTGATTGATTTTTCTAACTAACACAATTTAATAATATAATATAATAAGACGTAATCGCCCATGTGGGTATCAAAACTTTGCAGCTGTGGTTTGTGGAACGGTCAATAAAAATGAGCGAATTAACTTGATTTATCTGACAGCAAAAATGTCCAAGATTACCGTCAGCAGTAAGTTTTACTCCAAATGCAGCACAAATTTAAACAGTTTACAGAAACTCATAATCAACTTTAACTTGATAAACAGCTGATTCTCCCATCGCTGCAGGTGAAAAATTGCAGAAGAAGAAGAAATACACAGCATTGAAAGAGCTTCAGTGAAAACTCAAACGATGGAAAACCATGTGGAGACATTTCTGTTGTGTTAATGTGAGGAAGATTACAACGCAGATTGAGACTGTACATAAAAACTGGTGCATGGAAACGCGCCTAGTAACACTGGAGAGTTCGAAGCAGATAACGGCAATATGAGTGAGTTACATCAGATGTTAAAGAAGCTTCTGTCATTTCTTAAACATGATGAAAGCGTAGGCCTGCGTAGTGTACATGTAAGCTCATTTTACGTGCAGCGAGACTGAGCTGTATAAATAAAACTTACCTGTCGAACAGCTCTCCTCCTGTCACCAGCTCCAGCACCAGAGCGATGTCAGTGTCCGTCTCAAAGATCTCCTTCAGCTGGATCTGAAAAGAAGAAAAACATCTTCTGCATAACTTTATAATATAGATGTTCTGTTTTACACATGTTTAAAACAACCAGAGACATAAAGACAGAACTAGTGAGACAGTTAATGTGTTGCTGGCTGTCGTGCAGCTTTCTGAGCTCAGGTCGGAGAACCAGAACCAGTTCTGACGGAGAACCTCAGGTTTGCTGAGAACGTGCATACATCATCACACGTGTGCAAAATTTCATACATGGCGGAACAGATTGAGCGCCACAAAGTTTCTGAAGTTTACAAAAGACAGTGGAGACGCAGTGAAATGTGAAGGTGGTCGAACTTGACGCAGCATTTCCTGCAGCAGGAATAAAAACATGTTGCTAATGCAGATAACCCTACAGGTAACGTTCAACTGCATGAAGACAAAGAAAGCATTTATATTTTACAGCATTTTCCCTTTGAACAAAAAAACTTAATGATTAAAGACAGTGAAATGAGTCCTGTGTTGATTATTAATTCTTGTGACCAAGCAGGAACCTGCGGGTCTGAAAAGTGAAGCCAGCGCTGAAGCACCTTAAACCTGCGTTCTCAGCCTGCAGAAAGAAGTCTCTGAGAAAATGTTTCTACTTGTCAGCTGATTTATTCCCTCAGTAAACACTTTCCTGATGAGTTTCTGGTCTCAGTCGCTAGTTTCAAGTCTTCTTCAACACAGCATGATGTTCATTTAGTAAATTATGGTCCCATTTAGAGGAACAGAGACCAGGAAGCAGGGGAGGCTTTAGGGCGGGGCTACAAGCTGACTGACAGGTCGTTACCATGGCGACCTGTCAGTCAGGATAGAGGCGACTCGTATCCGCTGCTCTGTGAACATTTAACCAGCGCCGCTGAAAAAGCTCATCAGGAGTCGGCTGCTCATTTTTCAGTAAGAACGTTTTGTTTGAAGGTTGTTTGTCGCTAGCTAAAATTAGCCTCCCAGCTAATATCACAGATAACATGAATTACAGATGCACCTTGCTAACCAAGCTAGCTAGCTCCACCCTCTTTTTAAATATAAGATCATGATTATTACTTTATTATTATTAACCTCGAGAAAAACTCAAAAGGGCAGGGAAATACACACGTACTGTAACATTTTATATTTATGTAATATAAATATATAAATAGCCCTGCGATTGACTGGTGACCTGTCCAGGTTGTACCCCGCCTTGCGCCTGATGTCAGCTGGGACTAGCTCCAGCCCCCCACGACCCTGTACGCAGGACAAGCGTTTGACGATGGATAGATGGATGGAAATATATAAAATACACATAAAACATATAAAATAACCCTGTCGCTCCTCCTGAGCCACAGCCGCTCAATTGATCAGAGAATCAGTGAGAAACATACTTACGATATTTGGGTGGGAAAGACGCAGCAGGACGCCAATTTCAGTGCGAACGATTTTCTTGTCGATCTGCGACACAAGAAACAACATGAGATCGAACATGTGATGTGTTCAGATGTTCAAACACTGACAGGAAGTGAACACAAACTGTCCAATAACACAAACTGAGTGAAGAAACACGTCACATTTATCTTTTACAGTAACCATTAATAGTATAGATCAGTTTCATCTCCGTGCGGGCAGTGCAGAGTGTCTGTAGGTCCAGGGCATGGTTAGCCTAGCTTAGCACAAAGACTGGAAGCAGATGGAAACTGCTAGCTTTTGTGTAACTTTTTTGAAATGAAGACAAAAACTTTACTTATTTAATTATGAGTGTGTAAGCATATGCTGTATCTCATTAGCCAACATGCTAATCCCCTAAATTTACAGTATGAGTCAGCTGGGTTTGATAAAGATACAACATGTAGCCTAAATCAGAGTTTAACACAAAGTAGAGTTAAAGTTACATTAGTGTTGTGGTAGTTAGAGTTAGCTTCTAGGTCATGTTGTTTTAGAGTTTGCTTGTAGGTCCACTTAATCTATGAGCTTCTGGGCCCAGTTACCTTAAGCTGATGATACACGGGGCAACTTTTTGAGCAATCTTGCTAGTGGCAAGTCCGACTATGTTTTGAACGGTGCGGGGCGGGTGGCGGAGTGGTGGGAGAAGGATATTACGGTAGTAATCTTTACTCTTTACCATTTACGACAACATTGCCCTGCACGATTGCTCTAAAAGTTGCTCTGTGTATCATCAGCTTTAGAGTTAGCTTCTTGGTCCTGTTAGCTTAGAGTTAGCTTCTTGGTCCTGTTAGCTTAGAGTTAGCCTCTAGGTCTACTTAACTTACGGTTAGCTTATTGGTCCTGTTAGCCTCTGTCTTTTTAGCTTCGAGTTAGCCTCGTGGTCCTACTATCCTAGGTCTTGTTAGCTTAGAGTTAGCCTCTAGGTCTTATTATATTAAAGTTAGCCTCTAGATCTTGTTAGCTTGGAGTTAGCTTCTAGGTCCTGTTATCTTAAGAGTTAGCCTCAAGATCCTGCTATCTTAAAGTTAGCCTCTAGGTCTTGTTAGCTTAGAGTTAGCCTCTATGTCTTGTTAGCTTGGAGTTAGCCTCTGGGTTCTGCTAAAGTTAGCCTAGCAGTTAGGCTAGCAGTTTCCTCCTGTTTCCAGAAGTTGTTAAGCTAGGAGAAACACTTCCAGGAACCATGTCTGTGCTCCTGACCTCAGCTTCCTCCGAACACTGACCGTTTTCTTCAGGACCTTGAGGGCGAAGGGCTTCTGAGTCTGTTTCTCCTCACAGCGATACACGATGGACGTCGCTCCTCTGTAAGAAAACACAAAACAAACAAATGCAGCTTTAAATCTGCACGCTGTCCTGACGGCATGCGTTTGTGCTGCTGTAGACAACATGTCAGGAATGTGGGGCTGTGGAGACCCTAGCACAAGACTGGACTCAGACGTACAAAATTAATGTTTCTTCCATATGTGCATTTATTTTAACAGTTGTTCTTAGCTTCTATATATATTTTATTATTTATTATTATGGACATGAATGTGTGTAGTTGTGTTTTGGCACTCCAAACTTCGTGGTATGGTTTTTAATGATGCAATGACAATAAAGGCTGTTTATTCTTTAAAACCAAGGTGTTCGTAAAACAGGTCAAACTGCTGGTTTTACCAACCAACAGTGTTGTTAGTCTATATATCAATATTTTTTTGAGATACTTACAATGAACTCCCCCTTCAAACCAATCACTATTGGTTTGCATAAAAAATATAACTACCGGTTCACCAGTGTGGGAACGCCGTCACAGACACCAGGGCCCTGTACCATGAAGCGAGTTCAATATACTCAGGATATCTTTTGTTATCTGGCTCCACTAACCCTTACAACAGGGATCGGGATAAGGAGTCATACAAAGCTGGTCATCAACTCGGTAAGGCAACCCAGGGTTTCCCAATCCAGCCAAGAGTGCCTTCACATAAAAGAGGCGGAGTTAGCAGCAGAGGACCAATCGCAAAACAAATAGACTTAGTTAACTGACACATGCAGGAGGACAGAAAATCACTGAGAGTGTGAATGCCTAAATGTGTTGATTTGATGTGTTCTTATGGCGTGTAACTCCCCCCCATTACCTGGTAGCAAAAGGTGGGCGCTACAAGACCAGTGTCTGTAATTTAAGATACTAACCTAAAATAAACACATTCATATTAAACTTAATTTCAGTAGGGCTACCAAACTAGCTGCTCATCATATTCATCCTCACATCAGAAACTCTGTAGAGCAGTTTGTCCCTTTGGGCTACTGTAGAAACATGGCGGACCCGCAGCGTATGTAGATAGAAATGTCTCATTCTAAGGTAATAAAAACATAATGGTTCATTATTGAAGGTCTTTATACACCACTGAAAACATAGTTTATATATAAATATAATATAATATCTTATATTGTATTTCAAAAGATCCTCCTAAATATTACACACTGGCCCTTTAAATAAAAGGAGGTGAAAAGTTTTTAAAGTATAATTTCTCTAAAAGTCAAGACACATGTCGGACACATGATTAATTTTACAGCTGCAGGAACCGTCTCCTTGTTTATTCGTCATCCTGCAAAAGTCATGTTGACACAACAAAAATACAAATAAGACTGCGTGTGAACATGAGTGTGTGTGTGTACTTGTACTCCCTACAAAGCGAGGACCAGAACAAGATTTTAACCAACCTAACAAACATTTTTGGGAAGTGAGGACATTTTGGCCGGTCCTCACAATGTCAAAGGCTTTAAGACTTGGTTAGACTTGGTTGTAGGCGTTAGAGTAGGTCGGCATTGTAGTTGTGATGGTTAAGATCAGGGTCCACAGAACGCATTATATCACCGACGGTCCTCACAAAGATAGAAGTACAAGGATGTATGTGTATGTGTGTGTATGTGTGTGCGCGTGCGAGTGTGAACGTGAGCATGAGTGTGTGAGTGTGTGTCGGGGGGGGTGTATCTGTTATTCTGCTGGGACAGATGGAGGAAACAGATCCATCTGAAAAGCAACCCCACGCACGCACACACACACACACACGGTCCTGGCTGGTCTCCGTGGCAACAGGACACCTGGTAACGGCGCTCACAAGTTTCACTGATGCTGACATCATTTTTACTGTTTCCACAAAGCCGTTAGTGTCGCTGTTGTTGTTTACTGAAATAACGACAATACTGTGTGCAAACACCCAGTACACAACACAAACACACACAGTACACAAGCACAAACACACACAGTACACAAGCACAAACACACAGTACACAAACACAAACACACACAGTACACAAGCACAAACAGTACACAAACACAAACAGTACACAAACACAAACACACAGTACGCAACACAAGCACACACCATACACAAACACAAGCACACACCAACAATGAACAAAATCTTCAGCTCCAACAGACGGCCCTGTCCTGTGGAGCAGGAAGTGAGGTCAGCGAGGTCACTTCAGGTTTCCAGCACCATGACGGCGTTCACGTCTTCTAACCGGGTACATCGCCAATGTAACTGACGCTGGCCGGCTAACCTGTTATTTACACAATACTAACGTTTATATTAATGCGCTCATGGCTGTGTTGGGAAACTCTGGGTTGACGTAGCGAGCTGATAGCCAGCGTCATGTGACCGCTGAGCCTGATCGATCGTTAGCGAAGCCAGATAACGAACAGATACCCCGGGTATGTGTTGGACTCGCTTCGTAGCACTTTTAGCTCCGGTTTGGTTCATGTTCACACTCATTTATATACAAACAAACCAAGAACATAAAGTCATGTGACTGACAGAAGTTGCTGATTGGATAATTTTGGTGATGGCCACTTTATTAGATACACCTGTAAAACCGAATGCAGTCATGTTAACGTGTCCAACACTGTTGTTCATGACATTCCCCTCAGCCTCAGCTGGACTCTGAGTTTACTGCTAATTAGCTAATGTTAGCATGCTAACACGCTTAGCTATAGTGGTGAACATGGTGAACATGATAAACGACAGCATGGGACTATCCAGCATACCTGTCAGCTCTCCAGTATTTTCCAGGATTCTCTTGTATTCTCTCATTGAAATATTTACAATAATCTCCCATATTTTTAACCTTTCTAAAAATAATAAAACCCTGCAGGGCGTTTTGAAATGTTTGCGACGCTTCCCTCCAGTAAAGCAGATGACAGTATGTAGAACATTAGCTGTAACAGTGGCAAGAAGTCACCTTCTAATAAAACAAAAAGAAGAAGAACAGCTGTGGAGGGGTCCAGGATGGATGATGCATTGATCTACAGAGTATTTCTCTCGAGTAATTATAATTAGTAATTATTGTCATTAGGCTGTAACTGCTAACATATGGTAAACTCAGAATTTTTCCTCACATATGCCCCTAAAAATAAAATAAGTACGGACCAGAAAATGTTATTTTCAAATCCCAAACTTGACAGATACGCTATGAAGACTCTCAGGAAGTTCTGCAGCTTCCGCCCCTGCACGTTTTTCACGGCTCCGGTTCTAGAAGTAAATTCCCACCCATTCATTTTAACCCACTGACTTTTCCCAAAAATCCTTTTTTTAACCCTTGAACCGAACCGAGCAGCTACGATATGAATCATGACCATAAAACATTTGAATATGAGCAAAAAAACTATAAGAAAAACAGACATAAAGGAACTACAGATCCCATAAACCATTGCAAATCAGCCCTTTTCCAAAGACGTCCAACCTAACGATAGTCTAGCTGAACTCAATCCTTCCCATAGTGTTTATATTGTTGATATATTGGTACAGCGCTTTGCTTCTGACTGTAATCACTGCTCGGGCGTCCAGCAGGGTCGGTGACGTAGAAGAACCGGTGGATTAGATTTACAAGGTAAAGTTACTCGTCTCGTGATCCAGCTTGTGTAGCTAACGTTATGCTAATATGACGTGATTTAGTCTCAGAGGATAAGCACGGAGCTCTACGGTTCAGTGCTGGCAGGACCCAACATGACATTAGAGGGTTTTAAACGTTCCAATAGTAACAGCGAGCTGGTACAGCTGAGGACTCTGGGTAGTGTAGTACTTCTCTGTGCCATCGCAAATAAACCATATTTTTCTTACAACCAGTTTGATATCATACGGACTTCTACAGGAGCATAAACCATCCACCCCCTCCAGGATTTCATGATGTCGTGATCACACCTATCAACACAAATTCAACAAATCGCCGTGAATTCAGCGCAACCTGTAATTTTGACAAATCATCACAACTTTTCTGCAAATCTGACCTCTCGTCTGCGTTTCCTGCTAAACGCTGTCACAGGTCACCAAACTCACTTCCTTGTTCACAAGACGCAGCAGACGTGTGTGATACCAACGTCTCGCATAATCTACAGATATAACAGCAAAGGATTTCTTTACCAAAGCGTCTCCTGACAAACACTTTGAGAGAGGACGTCAGAGAGTCACTGAGACACTGAGGCTGCTGCATCCCGCTCAGCTGCAGGACAGAATCAAGGTCAGCTGGTTTAAATATGCAGGGTCAGGGTCAGGGTCAAGGTCAGGCCCGCCGAGTCCTGGAGGGACCGTTTAATGATTCAGCTACAATTCTAAAGGTAAAAATATCAGTTTTCACTTATTCCCACAACAAAACGTCTCCAATCTGTCATCGCAATTCTTTAGAAAAGCTGCTGCAAAATCACAACAGGTCTCTCCACAGCGCCCCCTGCTGCGTGGGGTGCGTACTGGTGACCAGGACTGAGGAGGTGGGGCACACTGAGAGCTTCAGGGTCTCCGTCTGTCCCCGTTTACCTGCTGCACCTTGTGAGTCTGCAGTGTCGTGTGTGAACTCAGATAAATGGAATAAAAACTGTAATAAAACAGTTATCTAATAAATTATGTAATGGGGGACGGAACTGATGGTTTGTGTCTTCCAGACCTCCTTGCCTGCCCCCCTAAAGGTGTGGTCCACAACACACAGCCCCTCCACACAACATATCATTCAGTTTACATAATCCTGGACCTGAGGTGGATCACATGGACCCCTCAGGCGGGCAACTTTGGCCCAAAGAGGGGTCCATGTGAACTCATCCCCACCAGTGTGTCACTTTACCCCTGTGCCCCCTAATAATGTGGTCCAGACCTGCCCAGCTCCGAGCTCAGGGTGTAGAACTCCTCCACCGTCCCGTCCCGTCTCGACCCATCCACCCAGAACTCCACCGGCTCCGAACCAGGCCGGGACGTCGGCATGGCAACAGAAGAACTCCCCAAACCAGGACCAAGAGGACCAAGAACCAGTTTTAAGATCACACCAGGACCGGGACTGGCGTGACCCGGTCTGAACCAGGAGCAGAGTAATCCAGATCAGATCTCAGCTTTAAATCCAGCTCGGTAAAACCCAGATTAGAGGAGCAGAGGGGGGATGATTCATGATCTTGATGGGCTCTAATCCAGACCAGGAGGAGGAGGAGGAGGAGGACCCGCAAACTCTCAATCAGGACCTTTTATCAGAGAAACTGAAAAACTCAAACAAAACAAATTCATTAAATCCTCAGTGACACAGAGGGCTCTTTAGACCAGGCAGGAACCGGGATCCAGGCGCACCAGGTCCACATATGTCGCAGCTTCCATCGGGCCTAAAACCCTCTCAGATGTCGGATCACTTCAGTCCATCAACCCTCCCGGGTTTTATTCGTATTTCCGTGTTTCTAACCGGGAGAAACGGTGCGTCCGTCCCTCCGGAGCGCAGCAGCCTCCCGGTGGAGATGCAGCCCGGAGCCGCGACAACAACACCGGAGCGCGGCTGCGTTCTCACCGGGAAACAGGCAGCGAGAGCCGGGCAGGGTGGGTGCGGGACGTCGGTGTTCGGTGCTCGGAGGTTTGATTCCCGGACAGGGCTGTTCCAGATGTCCGCTGGATCCGCAGAGAGAGAGATGCTGCTGTAATCTCACAGCCCCGCCCCTCTGTCACCGTGCCGACCAACCACAGCCCTGCACGGGAGGCAAGCTGCGCTCCCATTGGACGGCCGCCCTGTCCGTCGGTGCAGCCTCTGTCAGCAACCTAAATACAGAAATAACCTAAATACAGAAATGTACATTAGCGTGACATCTTTGGTCCTGCGGGACTCAAACCCGCAACCCCGACACGTCACACGGAAACACGTGATTCTGTTCAACAGTCAGGTGTTCAAACAAGTGAGATGCTGTGATTTAGACAAAGCTGCACTTCAACTTTATTTAAATCACAGACAGGAAGCCTCTTCACAAACCTGTAAACTTAAAAATAAAAGCTTTAAAGATGAAGTTAAACTTTTGTTTCCCTCTTCCTTAAAATGACCTCAAACCTACACACAGGCCTGTCTCTGATTAATCAATACCAATCAATGCTTAGGCCTACAATGGAAATCAATAATGAACTTAATGGGAGGAAATTAATATTTCTGTAAACGTCAGGCCAATAACGGTGAAGATAATAAGATAAAGAGCATATGGACATTTATTTACTTTTTATTTGTATTAACCCAGAGGTACAATCTGGTTTATGTGTCAGCGAGGGTCCTCAAAAGTACAGAAGAATATAGTGTGTATGAAATTAAAGTGATAAATCTCTGTGGGATTATTATCAGGACATTAGATAAACATATAAACAATACCCATCAAAAATGGGTAAATAAAAATCTTAATGTAAAATATCAGACAAAAATAAACAAAATATCCGAAAATACTGGTGAAATATCTGAAAATATATTTTTTATAAAGTATTATATCATGCATTCACTGCAGCGGAGCCAAGCAGGAACCTCCGGGTCTGAAAAGTGAAGCCAGTGCTGAAGAGCCTTAAACCTGCGTCCTCTCCAGCAGCCAGCAGGGGGCGACTTAAACCTGCGTCCTCTCTAGCAGCCAGCAGGGGGCGACTTAAACCTGCGTCCTCTCTAGCAGCCAGCAGGGGGCGACTTAAACCTGCGACCTCTCCAGCAGCCAGCAGGGGGCGACTTAAACCTGCGACCTCTCCAGCAGCCAGCAGGGGGCGACTTAAACCTGCGTCCTCTCTAGCAGCCAGCAGGGGGCGACTTAAACCTGCGTCCTCTCCAGCAGCCAGCAGGGGGCGACTTAAACCTGCGTCCTCTCCAGCAGCCAGCAGGGGGCGACTTAAACCTGCGTCCTCTCCAGCAGCCAGCAGGGGGCGACTTAAACCTGCGTCCTCTCTAGCAGCCAGCAGGGGGCGACTTAAACCTGCGTCCTCTCTAGCAGCCAGCAGGGGGCGACTTAAACCTGCGTCCTCTCCAGCAGCCAGCAGGGGGCGACTTAAACCTGCGTCCTCTCCAGCAGCCAGCAGGGGGCGACTTAAACCTGCGTCCTCTCTAGCAGCCAGCAGGGGGCGACTTAAACCTGCGTCCTCTCCAGCAGCCAGCAGGGGGCGACTTAAACCTGCGTCCTCTCCAGCGGCCAGCAGGGGGCGACTTAAACCTGCGTCCTCTCCAGCAGCCAGCAGGGGGGCGACTTAAACCTGCGTCCTCTCCAGCGGCCAGCAGGGGGAGACTTAAACCTGCGTCCTCTCTAGCAGCCAGCAGGGGGAGACTTAAACCTGCGTCCTCTCTAGCGGCCAGCAGGGGGAGACTTAAACCTGCGTCCTCTCTAGCGGCCAGCAGGGGGCGACTTAAACCTGCGTCCTCTCCAGCTGCCAGCAGGGGGCGACTTAAACCTGCGTCCTCTCTAGCGGCCAGCAGGGGGAGACTTAAACCTGCGTCCTCTCCAGCAGCCAGCAGGGGGAGACTTAAACCTGCGTCCTCTCTAGCAGCCAGCAGGGGGAGACTTAAACCTGCGTCCTCCCTAGCAGCCAGCAGGGGGCGACTTAAACCTGCGTCCTCTCTAGCAGCCAGCAGGGGGCGACTCCAGCGGCTGCAGAAAGAAGTGTGATTGTATAGAAGCCTATGAGAAAATGTTTCTACTTGTCAGCTGATTTATTCCCTCAGTAAACACTTTCCTGATGAGTTTCTGGTCTCAGTCGCTAGTTTCAAGTCTTCTTCAACACAGCGTGATGTTCATTTAGTAAATTATGGTCCCATTTAGAGGAACAGAGACCAGGAAGCAGGGGAGGCTTTAGGGCGGGGCTACAAAATGATTGACAAGTCGCTACCATGGCAACCTGTCAATCAGGATAGAGGCGACTCGTTTCTGCTGCTCTGTACATTTAACCAGCACCGCTGAAAAAGCTCATCAGGAGTCGGCTGCTCATTTTTCAGTAAGAACGTTTAGTTTTAAGCCTGTTTGTCGCTAGCATCCGAGCTAATATCACAGCTAACCTGAATTACAGATGCACCTTGCTAACCAAGCTAGCTAGCTCCACCCTCATTTTTAGAAAAACAAGATGGTGACGGCAAAAATGCCAAACTGGAGGCTTCAAAGCGACAGTCCACAAACCGACAGGGGACATCATGGCGGCTACGTCCTTTTATACAGGTTAAGAGTGGAGACGCCACAGCGCCCCCTGTGGACAATCGCTCTGCTGATATTAAACTTTCTCCTCCAGTTTCCACTCAGTCCACATTATTTTAACATCTTCACAAAAGCGAGAGAATCTGAATCCGTCTTAATATTATTACTGTAAACAAACTTTGTAGATTCGGAAAAATAAAACTGTGGACAGCGTATATCTGACCCAGACAGCAGTGACCTGTCAGGACGGACAGGTGAGAGTGGATTCATTATCACTGAGTGATGTCAGCCGTCCAGATGTGAGCGTGCTCAGTGCTCATCAGTTAAAAGGCTTCGGGCAGGTAGACAGCTGCTGAGCCACGGGAGGCCGCATTAAAGCTGACGGTTAAACTGAACCGCCGCCGACATCAAGACACAAACATGATTAGAAAAGGAACCGTCAGAACCTGTGAAGGTGTCCAGATGTTCCCACAGAGGCCGGATCCAGCTGTGACCTGCCACAGAGGGGGGACGGTGCCCAAACACACCTCCACCTCCAGGGAAAAGTCTAGACAGGAGCCAGATGGGAGATTTCATATTGATCCAGGCTCCAAGTCCTTTTATTTGTTTCTGATCCTGTGATACTGTAATGAGCTCATCAAATATTAACCTGTTTACATGTTTAACCAAATTAAAAACAACAAAGATTATTTTTGTCCCTGAGTTTTGCCTGTCAGGTTACACAGAGGCTCTGTGATGGAGGCTGCAGATACTCAGCGACAAAACGTTCACTTCTGTATTTATAATTCTGTTCAGCTGGCTGGATTACAATAACACCTCCTGCCTGTCAGAGAGGAGGAATAACAACAGCAGCAGCAGCAGCAGCAGCAGCAGCAGCGGAGGCAGAAACAGAGTTCTGTCAATGAAATCCTTCATTCTGTAGTTGTTAGTTCTTGTAAATATGTTTGACATTAATGCCAAGAGATAATCTGTTTACATTATTTCTTGAAGAGACATTTGAGCCACAAAAAAGGACACTTACCTAAAACTCTGCTCACTGCAATCCTGTGAAACCTTCAAGATGTGTAGGAACCAGGAAATGTACGTCTATATTTTAGCTTTACTGTAAAACAAAATAACACAAGTGGGTTTTTGTTTAAATTGTTGACAAATCAGCTCTGTAATGTAACAATCAATCAATGAAAAAGGATTTATGGAGCACTTTAAACACGGCCATTTAATGTGCAGGTGAGGAGTCACACGGCTTGGACTTGATTGTGTGATCAGTTTCAGATGAGAACGGCCTAAGGTCAGATGTGATTGGACGGCTGCTGATTGATCTATTGATCTCACTAAAGGCAAAGAGAGCAGGTTGGCCTTTGAGCAAAGCAGTGAACCTCCAGCTGCTCAGTGTCCTACAGGTGAGACTAAAGTTGTCCAGGTCAGACTTGATTTACGCTTTATCAATATCTGGATCTATGTGTATTTGTATTTTTAAGGTGTTTTCTGTCTGTCTCTCTGCTGCTCTTACAGGTCAGTTGTCCCTGGAGGACCTAAAGGTTTAACAAAAACACAAAAATTACACTTAACAGCATATTTACGTCTGCCTCTGCTTGACAAATAAACAAATCAATTTAAAATAAGTATTTTAAATTATAATATAAAATTTATTTACTATTATATATATTGCATACTTTTATATAAAACAGTCATTAGAATCAGGAGCAGAAAGAGCTTTACTGCCAAGTAATATTTTACATGTATGAGGAATTTGCTGAGGTGATAAAGTGGTGGACGCAGACAAACATCAAGTTGACATAAATAGATTTAAAAATATATAAATATGGAATAACCAGATGCAGATGTTATAAAATAATTATAGAACTTTGTGTACATGAGAAACAAAACATTGTGGCTGTTATTTACATGCGCAGTAATACTAATTTCTTGATATGTGACAGAAACTAAAGTTACCTTCATAACAGCCCTACATCCTAAACTCCATCCATAAATCTCACAATTTAATGATTAGTCTCATATCAGAAGGTTTTCATGATTTGCTAAATATGATTAATATGTTTTTTCTAAAGCTGGAGGAGCCACTCTTCAGTTCGGCATCAATCTGATCTGAAAATATTTAATTTTAGACAAACAGATGACTGTATTTTGTCCATGTTGTTGCCTGAACACAGAATTTATTCGTTATATTGTGGTTGTGTAATTAAAACCCTCCGTGTGATCTTGCAGGCGCCTGGCTTCGCTGATTGGTCGGCAGGAACGTTGAAGTCATTCAGAGGTAGAATTTGCCCCAGAAGCCTCTCCGTGACGTCAGCAGTAGGTGGACGTGAACTTTACATCAACAAAGCCGGAGTTGAGCAAACGCGACGTGTTTCTGGGAAAGTCCGCTCCGGTTCTGGTTAAAAAGTCCAAACTCTCCCGCTCTTTGTGTTCCTTCTACTTCGCGCGGAGTGTTTCTAGATGTAAGATGACTTTTTACAGAGTTGTCTCGGCGGCGCTTGTGCCGATCTGTTGGGTGTTTTTGGCCGTGGCGGAGGAAGAAGTGGTGAAAACCACCCGCGGCACCACTGCGACGACCAGACCCGCGGTGTCGAACTCCAGCCGGCCAAACTCCACGCACAGCGGCGGGGACGGCCGAGGACTGTTCAACGGGTTCAACGTGACCAGCTCCATGATCCAGAGGGCCCTGTACGTCCTGATCTGCATCACCGGGATCGGAGTTCTCTACTTCCTCATCCGAGCTGTGCGGTGAGAACAACTGTTACAGTTTACACCAAACTCCATTCAAATAAGCAGGGAATCAAGTTAACGACTCGCTGTGTTTACAACGTCAAACTAGCTTATTTAAATCTGCGATTTAGATTTTATATCACGGGTATTTTCGGCTCAGGTGCGCGCTGAACTGACAGCTGGCTTCTCCAGCTTTAGAAAAACATATGAGTCACATAGTAGAGTGTTTGTACAAGTACAAGTACTGATAAGCGCAGAAGCATTAAACCACTGTATTTCTGAATAGAGTTTGGCGTGATGTCTGTGCTCATACAGGGGAACAGCAGGATGTAAGATAGTTATAAAGGTAATGTAAAGTTTCTGGGACTCAGCTTGGATTTGAGTTGTACAAAACTATAGCAGGATATTAGTATGGCTGATAAATCGTAAGAATTATACAAATAATGATAAATAACTTTGCGTCACGCCAGACTTTATTCATAAACCTCGCAATTTAATACTTCCTCTAGAATCTGTAGATGTATATTATGATGTAAGAGGCGATTTATGCTCCTGTACAATTTTAGTGGCCACTCTTTAAGTCAATATACTTACATCAAATTGACTTTCTTTCAAAATGTTTAACCTAACTCCGTACTCCTACTAAAATGTTGAATAGTAGTTTAACAGTACTAACTCTCTACCTCTGCAACCGAACTGTGTGGTGAGAATAACTATAATCTGACTTTATTATAGGTAAGACATGATCAAAATACAATGTAAAATAATGCCAGTTTCATTTTCCTGCGATTTATGTGTGTAGTTTGTCCAAATTGGGAAAATTATTACAGCAAATGTCTGATCAGATGCGAGCTGAGCTGAAGAGGCTCCTCTAGATGTAGAAAAACACACAGGTCACATTCTACAGATTAGGAAGAACAGATGCTAAGAGAAGAAGCGTTAAACCACTAGATTTATGAATTGAGTTTGGTGTGGAAACGTTTTTAGGTGAGCAAGTTAATGTTAGTAGTTGTCACAGCTTGGCCGAGGAAATACAGAACTACAACAGGATATTTGTATAACTTATAAATCATAACATTTACTCATTTAGCTGAGGCTTTTATCCAAAGCGACTTACAGTTGCTATATATGTCAGAGGTCACACGCCTCTGGAGCAACGAGGGTCACAGTGGGTGTTTGAACTAGGTCTGTACCTCCTTATCTGAGCTGTTGTCCTGCATATGGACGGATCTCACACCAAATTCCATTTAATGACTTTCTCTCGTACCAACAACGGCACACATGTAAGGTTCTGCTAGAATCTGACACTGCCAATCCTCTTCTACCAATTTTACGTTTGCTCACAAAACAATTATTTAAATTATCTGTTGCAGAACTGTTTTATGAAACTGCAGTTTTATTTCCAGGCTGAAGAGGCCCGCCCAGAGGAAGAAGTACGGCCTGCTGTCCAACTACGATGACTCTGTGGAGATGGATGCGGTGGAGAGCGAAGAGGACGACACGCTGTACGAAGCTCGCAGCCTCCGCAGGTCAGAGGTCAACACGTTACTCAGAGATGAATTATTGTCAAAGTCAGGCTTCTGTCTGGGGTTTTAAGTTTGTGGAAAAAAAAATCCTAAAGCCAAAACTATCTGACCGGCGATGCGACAGTCTGGGCTCAAGACAAATGAACTAGTTAGTAAAGAAGAAGAAAAAAATCATCTGTGTGTATTCTTCTAACTGATTAAGATGCTTTTACTTCACCACGCGATGGCTGCCAACAGGGGCCGCTAACAAGCACTGCCAACAGGGGCCGCTAACAAGCACTGCCAACAGGGGCCGCTAATAGAGGCTGCTAACAGGGGCCGCTAACAGAGGCTGCTAACAGGGGCCGCTAACAGAGGCTGCTAACAGGGGCCGCTAACAAGCACTGCCAACAGGGGCCGCTAACAAGCACTGCCAACAGGGGCCGCTAATAGAGGCTGCTAACAGGGGCCGCTAATAGAGGCTGCTAACAGGGGCTGCTAACAAGCACTGCCAACAGGGGCCGCTAACAGAGGCTGCTAACAGGGGCCGCTAACAGAGGCTGCTAACAGGGGCCGCTAATAGAGGCTGCTAACAGGGGCCGCTAACAGAGGCTGCTAACAGGGGCCGCTAACAGAGGCTGCTAACAGGGGCCGCTAACAGAGGCTGCTAACAGGGGCCGCTAACAAGCACTGCCAACAGGGGCCGCTAATAGAGGCTGCTAACAGGGGCCGCTAATAGAGGCTGCTAACAGGGGCCGCTAACAGAGGCTGCTAACAGGGGCCGCTAACAGAGGCTGCTAACAGGGGCCGCTAACAGAGGCTGCTAACAGGGGCCGCTAACAGAGGCTGCTAACAGGGGCCGCTAACAGAGGCTGCTAACAGGGGCCGCTAACAGAGGCCGCTAACAGGGGCCGCTAACAAGCACTGCTAACAGGGGCCGCTAATAGAGGCTGCTAACAGGGGCCGCTAATAGAGGCTGCTAACAGGGGCCGCTAATAGAGGCTGCTAACAGGGGCCGCTAATAGAGGCTGCTAACAGGGGCCGCTAATAGAGGCCGCCAACAGGGGCCGCTAACAGGGGCTGCTAATAGAGGCCGCCAACAGGAGCCGCCAACAGGAGCCGCCAACAAGCGCTGCCAACAAGCGCTGCCAACAAGCACTGCTAACAGGGGCCGCTAACAGGGGCCGACAGGGTTCAAGTTGTGGTTTAAATCATTGACTTCCTGTTTACACCACCCAAATTATGGAAACTGTAGTTCCAACACCAAGAGTATGATTATCCCCAAAATAAAAGAGAAGGAATAATAATCATAATAACACAATTTAAAAACGAACAGTCGATTTTTGATAACTGGTTTCTTGTGTCGTCATCGTCCTTTAAATTAATTGGTCATTGATCAGGCGTCTTCTGTAAACCTGACGCTTCTCACGGTTCAGCTCCTCAGGAAAGGTTTGGGAAACGCTGCCTTCACTGACCCACAGTCAGTGCTGCCAGCGTCCCGGACTTTAGCCACACGTTGTAACTGAACTATTGATCTGATCACTGTTATCTGTCTTCAGATGAGTCCCGTCGGAGTCGTCGTCTGCAGCTCCTTCACCTTCTGACGGATCAGACGAGTCATGTGTTTACCGGACGTCAGCTGATATTGATTATGGATTGGAGAGAGAGAGAGAGAGAGAGAGAGAGGACTGACCAATGACTCCCGGAGGAGGGGACATGGACCAAACAGTTATTGAAGATAAACGCCAAAGCTGCAGAAGAACCTGCGCAGGATAATCGTTATTTTTTTAAGGCAGTGTTGGATGATTGAGTGGGGGTTTGTTTGGTTATTATTGTTATTTGAAAGAGTCTTTTTCAAATAAGTTTCTTGTTCCTATTTTTTCATTCTGAGCTTTTCTGCTCAGACTGTGCTCAAACTACTGCGAACTGACTCCAGACCAGCTGATAAACCAGCAGCAGAGATCGGTCTGACCCGCCACTCTGCAGAGACCTGGACTGGTATCAGGGGGGTGTTTATTCCAAATCTGGCGTATTTCCCATAAACGGGGCTCCGTGGGCGCCGCTACTTTTACAAAGTGTTTCTGTTATGTCGCAGGTTGAAATAAACGTTTAAGTTGCTCTTTAATCCCGTTAGCATTCAGCCAACTCATTATTTAAGAACAGTCCACAGAGAGCGAGAGGCACGGGGCCCCGACAGGTGAAGCTGGCCCCTGGTCTTGATCAGATGGGCCCGTGTTTTTCATCAGTCTCATCATTTCCTGTTTTCTACAAAGAACTTTATTTGGTTTAAATTATTATAAATTAATCCCACATTTATTTATTTGAAACTTCCACGTGTCGTCATGTCCGGCGACTAAAAGCCTCCTCTGTTATATTTATTTTTTTTGTTTTTTCCCGTAAGCTTGTAAGTAATCATCAGCATTTTAAAATATGGACCGAATGGATTAAATAAAGTTTCAACATCTTGGATATTTTGTTTCAGAGGTTTAAAGAGAAGAATGAAGCGAACTGAAGTTTCTCTCAGCTGCTGCTCAACTTTCCTGCCATTTAACACAAACGTTTCACTTTCAGAACATTTTAAAGAGTTTGTGTCTAAAAGAAAATCATTAAACTGTGTGAAATATCTTCCGGCTTCTGTCTGTGCTTCCGCAGGAAGTTCAATTTCCCTTGTTCCCTCATTGTTGTTGCTTACATTGTTGTGAGAGCGATGAACACAGCGTGGTTTGAGCCCGGCAGCATGCCAACACCAAATCTGAACATGTTTTCCACGAGTTCCTGTTCGTTTCCCTCTTCGCTCATCTTTAACAAGCTTTAACCCAGAACAACAAATCTGACGTTTAGACTCCTGTTCTTATCCATGAGTTGGACTCTAATCTGTGGTCAGTAGGTTCCTGTGAGCCTAACGAGGACAGTTACATGAGAGAAAGAAGCACAGCTGGACACTCAGTGAACACGTGGGATCAACTAATGACTCCAAGCTACACCTGTTTTTACCTGTTACATCAATTAAGAAGAAATATTCTTTGACAACAATAATCTTTCTTTATAGAGCACCATGTTACAAAGCTATGGAGGACAGGTCCTGGAATAAATACACGATTAAATACACAAAGAATACAGTAAATAAATGTAGGCAGTAATTAACCGCCGTCTGACTGATCAACCAATAGGCGAGAAGTTAACCCTTCAGACACAGCCCCTCCTCATTTGCATGAGGCAGAAATGTAAAAAGAGCAGTAATATAAATACCACTGGGGATATAAATTGGGTAGAAAATGCAAAGGAAGAATAAGAGAATATTATCTAGAGACACATTTATTAATTATTTTTAAAATGTATTTATTAAAGTTGTTAGCCAATAAGGTAATTAATGCAAAGGTGAATAAATAAAGCTAATTAAAAGAGACATTTGTCTCATTGTATAATTTGCTGTATTTTGTGTATGTATTGCAAAGACAGTAAAACAAAACAGATGCACGATAAAAGCAAGAAAAGTTCAACAATGCAGTTAAAATATAACTAAAAAACATTCTTCATAGTTTAGAGGTTTGATTTAAATTTAGTTTCATATTTATTATCTACCCGAGATGTGTTGGTTCATTTTGTAAAACTGAAAAATAAGTTTAATGAAATTTTAAATAAACACCACCAAAGTGTGGTTTACATTTTGTATGACCGTTTATCCACGACTTGTACAAACAGTTTTGCCCTCTTATTTTAGACTTTTTTTTTTTTAAGAACGTGCACCGTTACCTTTTATGTACGATGTCCTCGAGTGTCCTGGCGTTGCATGAAGACCAAGCTTTCATTAGGAACAGCTGCACAGCCAATCAGCTGCCTGCATCATTACTCTGTGTACTTTAATTAAATAATTAACTTTTACAAAACGTCAAAGATCCAGAAAACAGATTTGTGAATCTTCTTCGGTCCTCTCTCATTTATCATCTCTCGACCCCTCACATTCATCTGGTGGCCCTCTGGACGGGCCCGACCCCTCGGCTAAGAACCACTGGACTAAACCAGCCGACTGATCGTGACGCTACAACTTAAACTGATGCGTTTAAACATTTCATAAAAGTTTAAATGTGTCTTTATTTACATGTCAGGACTGCTGGAGCGTCGGCACTTTATCAGGGTCAGTCCGTCCCTCAGTCCGACTTCCTGTCCGAGGCCCTCGGCGCCAAGCCTGTTTGAACAAACGCAGCAGGTGCGCCCTCTGAGACCGCACAAAACAACTTTATTTGGCTTCATACAATTTTACAGTGAGCACAACGCATGAAGAACGCGTCCTCTGCATTTAACTCCTCCTAATTAGGGGCCATTAGGGGGGTCAGGGCCTTGCTCACTCAGGGGCTCCTTTGGCAGTGCTGGACTTGCACAGGTGACCCTCCGGTTCCCAAGCCTAAAGAGCAACACTTCACAAATGTGAATGTCCCGATGAAGTCCTTATGTGCAGCAGATGTTTGAACTGCAGAGGGACAGAAAACAAAGAGCAGTGGCGTTTTGAAAAACGTGCCTTTATTTTGTAGATTAGAACAGGAAGTGTGAGCTCTACAGACACTTGAGGACGCTGAAGTCACAGACGGTTCCTCCGGGACATGCGCACAGCCTCCCGATCCTCGATCCTTTACGCACCGCACACTGCTGCCCCGCGTCACACTGGCACACAACAACAACAACAACAACTTTTAATTACAGGAAAAACAGACGGGAAACCAGCAGGAGCTCCGTCAGGTCCAGGGTACGCAGTCCGACACATCTGAGCTCTGAACTATAAATGGCACTGAAGAAACTCTGAGACAGAAATACACAAAGTTTAAAGAAAATGCTAATATTTCATTTTCTGTCAGCTCCTCTATGATGAAGCTTTAACCGCAGACTGTAAGCAGTGGGCGTGGTCATCGTGACCTCACCTGTTGGTTTGTGGACCGCCGTTTTGAAGCCTCGAGTTTGACTTCTCTCTAATACAGGAAGGAACCTCTGACCGTCTGTCTGTCTGTATTTCAGTTGTGTCAGGAACCGTTCATCCAATCGACTTCAAACATGGCGGGTGTGTTGCTGCAGTCCCAAGGGAGTGCAGCGTCGCCTTTGGTGCAATTTGGACTCGTGACACATTCACAGTCAATAAATATACTAAAGAAAAGCCTGAGTGGAGCTGCCCATGTGGGCGGGGCTTATGCTCGGAATAGTAAACTTTAATAAACTACAGTAGCTACAGCGTGAACCATAGACTGTATAAAAGCAGTGGGCGTAGTCATGGTGACGTCACCTGTTGGTTTGTGGACCGCTGTCTTGAATCCTCGAGTTTGGCCGATAGGGCGCCGCCATGTTGATTTTTTGCAACCAGCGGCACCGACGTGACCGTATTTAGACGTGACGGTGGAGCTAACGGCCGTGGACGGAGCTAGCTTGCTTAGCGAGGTGCATCTGTAACTCACGTTAACGTCAGTTTAACAGAACTGATTGAAACTAAACGTGCTCACCAGAGAAAGTGACAGCCGACTCCTGATGAGCTTTTCCAGCGGCGCTGGTTAAATTTACACAGAGCAGCGGATACGAGTCACTCTAGCCTGATTGACAGGTCGCCATGGTAGCGACTTGTCAATCATTTTGTAGCCCCGCCCTAAAGCCTCCCCTGCAGCCGCTGGAGTCGCCCCCTGCTGGCCGCCAGAGAGGACGCAGGTTTAAGTCGCCCCCTGCTGGCCGCCAGAGGGGACGCAGGTTTAAGTCGCCCCTGCTGGCCGCCAGAGGGGACGCAGGTTTAAGTCGCCCCCTGCTGGCCGCCAGAGGGGACGCAGGTTTAAGTCGCCCCCTGCTGGCTGCTGGAGAGGACGCAGGTTTATTATTATTTATTCCACTTTTTCCCCACACAGGGCCATGTAGGTTTGGATGGTCCATTTAGTACCTCAGGCTTCAGCTCTTCTGCACAAAGAAAAGAAATCTCTCTCACCTCATTCATAAAAGCTTCAGCAGTGTCAAGTTGGATATTTAATATCTGCTGCTTTTAACGGGTCTGTGCTCGAAGGCTCTGGTCAATAACTCACGATCAGCGGTTACGTCCTGGTTCAGTTTGTTCGACTTAAGACTTTCAATCTACCCTCAGAACCAGACTGGGCATTCTGGGTGTGGAACCGCTTGGGTCACAAGTACCACCGAGTGGACCCCTGCAGACAGACCAATCATCAGAAGAATAAATCAGTTCTTACTGCAGGAACCCAGCCGAGCTTCTTCTCTGACGACGGCGGCTCTTTGTTCTTTAACTTCTCCAGAACTTCTTGTAGAGCTTCGATCTGCAGAGAGAAGGCAAGACTTCAACTCCTCGCTCAGATACACACTTTCTACACGTCTGCTACACATTTAGTGAGCCGGGCAGCTTTCAGCTCTGCACTAGTTTAAATTCTGGGTTTGTACCGCGACAGATCTCAGGATGTGAACAGGACGTTTCACCTGCATCTTCAAGTCCACGGCGTCTCTACATCTACATCAAAACTGGAGTCGACTCACCAGCACTTTCTCCTCGTCCTCAGCTGATCGCTCCTGTTTCAGCTCCTCGCTGCTCCCCACAACTACCAGCAGCCAGCAGGAGGCGCAGAGGAGCAGGATCCTGCCGCTGACCATGGTGCTGAGGGACTCGTAACGGGCAGGACACCGAGGGACTCGGACCAGGCAGGACTGGGAGGGCACTGATGGACTCGGCGGGACGGTGAAGAACACTGGACGCCTCAGACTGTCCCTCTGGATTCTGAGGTCTCAGCCTCAGACATGAAGGCTTATATGTGAGCCGCTCTGACGTCAGAGGGACAATATTTACCTGCTGATTAGACGACCAGGGGACTCACCTCCGGGTCAGCGGGGAGAGGAACCTCTGCCCCGGCAAACAGGACGTGACGGCAGCGTCTCTGTTTCTGGGTGATTTTCATCCTCGAGACGCTGCGATGAAGCTGGAGACCAACTGTTCTGACAAACTGTCCACATCTATGAAATTAAAATATAGCAGCAACGATCGGGATCCGAGCGGGTTGTGATAAATCCAACATTTCCAGAGGACAAGACCAGGTGCAGATAACTAAAGAGATTAAAGTGACGAAGGACTCGCAGCCAAACCCAAAACCTTGTGGTCATTTTATGTACCTGACCAACCCGACCAGAGGGCGAAACGTTCAACCCACCTGCCAACTTTTGTCTTTCCAAGTTTTAAGCTGCACAAACACTTTTTAGCAGAGAAAAATACATTTCCACTGGATCAAGTAGAAAAGGAAAACTTCAACTTACAGCCTCAGTGAGCAACTGAAAAGACACAAGAGCGAACATCCCCGTCTGAACCCTGAAGCTTGGTGTCCCCTGATGGACACTTCAATGGATGTGAAGATGTAAACAGATTTATCATATGCAAAATAAAATACAAGTGGACGGGCTTAAAAAAAAAACAAAAAAACAGCTCTCTAGGACGTATCACACGCTCCAAGTTAGGTTACGATAGATTCAAGGGCGTCACTTTGTGTTGGAAAGCGGTGCAGACATTTAAACGCGTCGCCAGTGTAAATGACACCTATGAATAAATTAAGCAAAGTTTGATCTACGGACATTTATATAAAATTGTACGTCAAGACACAAAGTGAAATTTAATGGAAAACCCAACAGATCGGCAAATTATTTCAATAACTTCCGTAGATGATCCTGACAAAGTTTCAGGGCAAACGGCGTTTGATGAGTTTGCAAGAACAGGTTTTTGAGAAAAGTGATAAAAGTCGTATAATTTGATATTTGTAGAGCAGAAGCCCACTGGAGAAAAGATGCAAAAGTTCAGGTGCGTTCGAGATGACAGCGGCTGACTTGATCTTGGTCTAACGTGAGCTGCAGGTGACCGCAGGGGCGGGGAATAAAACCGGCGCCGTCAAGTCGGACACATTCTACCTGCGTGAGCTCAGATCAGTGACTGACCTGGAAAAAGCTACTGCGGCCGCTGGACTCTTAAGTCAGCGCCGCACCTAATGACTCTAAACAAAGCCGTTTGAGATAATCGCAACAAAGTAAAGCTGCTTGTTATAGCGCCACCGTGAGGCCAATGACTGTTTTGCCCGAGTAGCGGGTGGAGTTTGCAACCCAGAGCAGACGAAGATCTTTCCTTCAGTTTGTGGGTTTTACTTCACGGCGTAAACCAGTTTTTCTGAAGTCCGACTCTAGAAACCACCTGCTGTGACCTTTCGACAGGTTTTAAGGGGAATGTTGCTTTAAGACCTCGGACTGACAGGAAGCGGCTGGACCCTGTGATGCTCAGTATAAAGTCACCTGTTTCATCACTGGCTCTGCGTCTTACACTCTGCATGTCTGTCTGACCCTTTGCAAAGAATAAAACCCTTAAAACAACGTCTGGATTGAATTCTTCATTTCAGAAGACTCACTGAAGGACGTGTTTCCATCCCAACGCTTCGGGGTCTCCGTGTGTCACCGTTTACGTCAAAGCACATAAGGAGCTTTAATATCTTCCTCTGAGTTCGACCTCTGACTGACGAGGTCACCGCGTCTCTGATGAAGCCAGCTGTTCGACAGAGAGGTGAAGAACAAAGTTCAACACAGACACAGAACGCGTCTCTAAACCTGGAGATTAAACCTAAACTTTAACTCCAGATACGAGAGGAAATATCCGTTTGTAATTTGTGTGAGCTGCAGCACAGTAACACCAAGTGATGAACTCGTTATTCATCCCTGAAAATTGTTTCTCTCTGAAATTCACGTTATTTCTCAGTTTTGCTGACCTGAACTTTGTCTTTCCCTTCTGTGGTTATTCTGCAGCAGCGGAAGGAAATAAACCACATTTCAACACCTTGAAACGGCCTGTTAATACACCTCAGAAGCTTTATTTGGACTAATTTATATATTAATTAAGAAAGACCGAGCAGCTGGTTCATCCTACAGTGAAATAATGAAAAAAACTTCAATTGTTAATTGAACTGAAAATGTTTTGGTGACGTAAACATTTTTAACTTTGGCAGTTTAAGGTCCGTCCGTATTGAGGCTTCGAAGCGCGTGTCGAGTAATCCAGGATGATTTTTGTGAAGCGCGTATGTGTTGGTGACGTATCTCGCGAGCCGGCCCTACCACGTGACCGATTCAGGAAATGCTTTGCAGGTTTGGCGTCCGATTCGAAGGAGGCAGCAAAACGCAACAGACCCTCAACACACTGAAGATTTTCTGTACAGCTCATTTTAAAAAAAATTTGATCAACTTATGTCAGAATTGCTTTGATCAAACAACTTCAAAAATTGTGATGAAACAGGAAATCTTTAGTTGAGTAAAACTAGCGGCAGAAAGTGTTGAAAAAACTAAATTGTGACATTTTGTAAGAATGACACTGCGGGCGTCCTACCCCATGTTGCCCTGATCATTTTCTAAAGCAGGTGAAATCGTCTCCAATAAACCAAAACCGCCTGAAGCACTGCGGAAATAAAAATGACAAATATTCTCCGTTATCTCAAGTCTCAAACCAAGTAACACGGACACATTCTCATAATAAACTTCTCCCGTTTCCAGTCTTTGCATCATAAACACCATATTAATAAGTTCATCATTTATGTATTGGCATCACAAACATCATTCATTAATTTAGTCAATTCAAACTTTCGATTAAAATCGATTACTAAAATGCATCGACGCAAATTCTTTGCAGCTGATCAGAAAGCAGCCGGTGTTCTGCCAACTGTAGCATCTGACTGAAATCCTGACCGATTGTTGAGGTGAAACCAAAGTAAGCCGCCGTCCTCAGCTGAAAATGTGACCACGTGCGTTTGGGTCCCGAGTTGTGACCTCAGTCAGGAGTTAACTGGCTCTCCGCCAGCTGCACTTTAGTGTAACTTGTACTCGGGTGATGTTTGTGTTTGTAAAGCAGCCGTCTGGTTGTTGGTCTGATGTTTGCTGTGTGACACATCTATCATATCTATCATCTACCAACGTACGCAGCTGATCCTGCTACCGCCGCCAAGCTAAAGCAGTTTTTAAAACGACGCATCGATGAATCGTTGAAATAATCTATTTAGTTTTCACGTGACGTCACATTTCTGTTACTTTTGCGTTGCCAAAAGGCTGGATGGTTGTTGTGCTTTCGGATTTACTAACCGAGGAGGAGACACGCCTGAGCTGTGTTAGGAGAAGGATTCTCACAAGGTAAAAGTAAACATTACCGCAGTCGAGCGGCGGCAGGCGCCACCATGCTTTCAGACCAAAAGCGAAGAGAGCGTTCGGGGCGGTGAGTTTACATACAAAGTCAATGCAAAGGCGTGTACAGCCGCGATTTCCTGTCAGGCGGTTCTAAGGGGGCGGTGCCGGCGACACGATGGTTGAATATTTTCAACTCAAGCGAGAAATTCGCACGACACCGAGTGAGGGTTGAGATTGTCCGTACGCACGAGGCTTCAGAGCGTTGTGTGGAGAGCGCCAGGCAGAGCGGGCAACTGAAAATCTGCTGGCCGGCTAAACTTGGGGGAGAGGAGCAGCGCTGCAACCTTTAGACAAATAAACCCCCTGTAGTCGGTGGGATTCTGCTCTGACAGCTCCGCCGTTTACTCGCGGGAGGAGCTCGGAGTTAACTGCTTTTATTAAATAAGATTTCAACGTTTATTTATCTTCTCGGCAGCTTCCCTGCACATCCGGTTCCACTGTTGTCGTTAGCGTCGTTAGCTCTGTCGGACTGCTACTTCATATTTATATAAAAGCTGGACGTTACTTGGAGAAAAGAAAGCGAGGAGGTTGAACTACCTGGTGAGATCAGTAAACGTGTGTCTGTAACTTTATTCCAGCTGTCGTACTTTACTGTGAACAGGTTAGCGTAGCATAGCCCTGATCGATCCAAACTCCATTCAGAAAACAAACATTTTAGAAGCTGCTGTCCTGCTGACAGACCTGACAAAACATCAATTCATGTGTTCAACAGAACAGCATCATGTTGTGGCTGTTTCAGCATCAGTTTGATCCGTTTATTGCCATTAAATCACAGCAAAGGGTTCATCCAGCTGGAGTAATGGCCAGTTGTGTTTATTCTCATTAACACTCCAGGGAGGAGAGCGTTGCGTGGATTAAATTTGCGTTTGGTCTGAATGCCACATCGTTAGAAATGCAGCAGCGGATGCTGTAACGTTATGTTGATCAGATAGTGCTTGTGTGGACAGGAAAACGCCCGTGGACGTGTGGACCGTACAAACGTTTATTGTCAACAAAGAGATTCATGTTATCCACCTTTTTTTTTTTTTTTAAATGACAAACAGAAACACTGAAACACACAAACGTCTCTGAACACAAACTAAACAACACAGCGGTTTCTAAATGATGGACCTTTCAAATAAGAACAAATAAAAAGGATCTTAAAAATATTTTAAACAAATGTAAACTGTGAAAGAAAGAGGATCGTCCCAGCCTGGCCCATAATCCTCTCTGGCTCTGAAGCAGAAAGCAAAAGAAACTACAGTTAATATGATTAATAGATTCTGTTTCCTGTTGAAGCCTTTTAAAGACGCTCGCTGTTACTGCGTTTAGTAACTTCACTGGTTATCAGCCAAATCTGGACTGTGGTTCATTTTCCTCTTGAGTAATGAAATCTGCCATCAGACCAGAAACCTGGTTGTTTCTGTGTAAATCAGCCGTTTCCAAGTTGAATTTTCACATTAATTAATATCAGGGCACAGACAAACTCCACACCTCCATCACGCGACTTCAGCCGGACAGTAAACGCACCTTTCTGCTGCTTTAACTCAGGCTAAAAAGAACAGAAGTAAATATGAACTGTCTATGAATCACAAACTGAGGAGTGTGAATAGAGCTTGTACCCGAGAGTGTCCAGGTGTGGACTTACCTCAGTCTTTGGACATGAACTCCTGCTGAGCCTGAAACACAACCACACACATTTAATGTCCCACAAACGGCAGCTCTGAACAGGGAGTCCAAACTCTGCGACACACCTGCTGGTTCTAGATTAGATTCTTTGGTGTCTTCACATTAAAGTGTTACTGACCATGTAGCTGCCTGTGTGGAAGCCACACATGTACCACAGCATCAACATGCTGGAGGTGGCGTTGACGGCCGGAGGAGTGGCGGACTCTTTCGCGCCAAATGTCCAGAGAGGAGGAGGAGGAGGGATGAAGGACATGGGGCCCTGGGGAGGGAGACGCGGCGTCAGAGAGAGAGAGAATGAATGAGCCGGCTTTATGAATGTTAACGAGTCGGTTTTACCCCCGAGGCCGACTGAGGAGGAGGAGGAAACGGAGGGAAGAATGGAAAGCTGTGATTGGTCGGTTTCTCTGCTCCGTCTCCCTGCTGGTCTCCTTTCTTCTTCTTCTTCTTCTCTTCCTTTTCCACTCTGCCGGGTTTCTCTGTAACCTGCTGACATACAAAACACCAAATACTGAATCAGCAGACCTCCTGCAGCGCTCGCAGCAGGTCCGGGTCAGAACCGCACAGGTTAACCAGCTCGGCTTTGGTGAACGTTGGGACAGTGGATAAGACGCCTGCCTTTGGTGCGAGAGACCCGGGTTCAATTCCCCCACTGTGACACGTCCACCAACATGTCCCTGAGCGAGACGCTTAACCCCTCGTTGCTCCAGAGGCGTGTGACCTCTGATATAATTAACAGCTGTAAGTCGCTTTGGATAAAAGCATCAGATAAATTAAGTAATATTTAAAGAAAAGGAAGAAGAAACTTTAATGAATAAACAAATACAGCTCACCTACGTCTGTGCAGGGCTCTACGCTAACCTCTTCCCCAATGAGCACGTGCTACTAAATGAAAAAATGTGACAAATGTTCAAACCAACGATTATATACATATTTAAAGTAGGTGTGTGCTCCTTCTCCTTGTGTTAAACTACGGTGTGTAAACACTGGAGAACTGAGAGCGAGGACCCTGGTCTCTGGACACGCAGCATTGGCGCTTGTGTAGTTTTTGAACAAGGGACGGATTCACGATCCAGCAGCAGCTCCCAGACCTGATGGAAACAGTGAGCAGCGTTACAGTAACTTCAGTGAATCAGACCAGGGGAAGGTGTTGCTCTCAGGAGGACACATCCTGGCACTCTGAGCCTTCCACTGCAGGAGGAACTAGTTTAAATGAGTCTATTAGTATTTATATTATTATGATAAAAAGTTACATTTTACTGTATGAATGGTCATTTTATGTAACAGTACACTACACAGCTCACCACTAGAAGGCGCTAATATTAATTCCAGCAGTTTCATTCATTAAATCCTTGTGCATGAAAAATTGCCCGCACTGGTCTCTTAATTTGTTAATGCTACTAATCTCATCAATAATCAGAACCAGTCATGCAGGACGAGTTCAACGTCTCAAAGTTCACTGTAGCAGGTCAAACTCTTGTGTCCCGCCCCGTCCAGGCTGTGATTGGCCATTTGACGAAAAGTGAAATTGATGAGCACATCGATGTTATCAAAAGTTGAACACGTCAACAAAAAGCGCCTGATATATTCAGCTCGCCAAACCCACGTCCTCATTATCTTCTCCCTACGGTCTTAAGGTTCGTAACGATGTTTAGGGGCGTATGCGAGCTAAATGGTCGCCCTGCTGTGCCACACCTGGGGTTTGATTAACTGAAGGATTAAATGGTTGTGAAAAACTTTGTTTTCCAGAAATTTAAATAACTACAAAGCTGCACTGAAGAAACCAAGATGGTTTTTTGCAGGACCCTGAGCTCGAGCTACAGGACACAAAGACTCTTACTTGCTTTGAGAGCTTTCGACTGCATCTCAGAGTCTTCAGCAGAGAAATGGTTTGATTTGGTCACGTGACAACTAAGGAACAAAAAGTAAGTAAATGGATGTGAAATGCAGTGATAAGTGGTTTGATTAATTTAAAGCTGATCTGAAGCCACGTTTCATCATTTTTCCTCATTTTACCAACTTTATCCACCGCTGGGGGGCCATGCCCCCCCCCCCACATTTCAAACTCTGTTTTGTCCCCCCCACATTTCTCAGGCGATTTTGGAGTTGGCTCACAGCAGAGGGCTTTACTTTGAGAGACTAGTCAATCAGTCACACACTCCGCATCAGACAGACTCAATAAACGGTTAATTAACTTTAAGAGAGGTAGAGAGGTGTTTCTAGTTTAGCATTTTAAAGGCTCATCTAGTTATGTCTCTACTTTCAGTCTCAGGAACAAAGAGCCCCCACCAAATGCTTTGACTGGAGAGTGGGGCTGACCAGGGACAAACTCCTGGGCCATTTGTTTGCCTTAAAAACCTGTTATGTGTCCATAAACAGTTTAAAGCAGCCAAACTTGTCACAGAGAAATTAGCATCTTACATTTATTCATTTAGCTGACGCTTTTATCCAAAGCAACTTACAATTGCTGTACATGTCAGAGGTCGCACTGCTCTGGAGCAACGAGGGGTTAAGTGTCTTGCTCAGGGACACAATGGTGGACGGGTCACAGTGGGGGACTGAACCCGTGTCCATTATCCATTACGCCATCACCCACCGCCTTACAGTATTTTAAGGGGAAGAGGACAGAGGTCACAGGAAATAACTGAGGAGGACGAGCTTGTAAGTTGGATGGATAGCAGGTGCAGTTTTGTTGCAGGCTGATGATTTGAGGGTTGACAGTCTGTTTCTTTAAGGAACACCAGCTGAAAATCAGTTATTGAAAAGGAAACCTTAGCTTTGGTTCTGGACTTGCGCAAATGAGAGGAGGACCTGATGTAGGCTGCAGCTGTTTGAGCTTGACAGAACGATCGGATCTTCCTCCAACCACTTCAACTTGCGTCTCCCAATCTCACAGCCACGACTGACGATAATATGACAGGCAGCCAGACGTCCACGTCTGCAGCTAACGTACACGTAACATACGAGTTACATTAATGGCGGGAGTCAAAATCAAACAAATACACGCTAATAAGGCATTTTAATTTTCCCACCAGCCTTAAACGCATCATCGGCAAATTTAACACCTACAGCAAATTAACGGTAAAGACCTTAATTTCCCTGATTTCAATTTAAGACCTTAAGACTTTTTAAGGAGCCGCGGGAACCCTGTCACAGATCAGATCTGTTCAGACCCTTCGTTAACATTAACGCACTGAACTCAAACCACAGGCGTCTCGAGTCAGACGCTGAAGTGTGTGATTTTATTTATCATCACCAAAAGTGTAAAATTATTTTCGCCTTATTCTGAAACTATGGCGGAACAAGTTGGACCGCGTGGGGCCGCCGTAGTCTGACTAATTAATGGGAAACATGCTGGTGTCATCTGAAGAGTGAGGACAGGAAGTACTGAAAAGGTTAGGTTGGTAATGAGGATTAGTAGACAGTAAAATGTGCACTTTATCAAATGCAGTGACAATCTATCACTCCATTATTCAATTTCTGTTCCTCATACCCTTGAGGCCACTTTCCTACAATTTTGTGCCGTGCATGATTTAATGTAAGACGAGAAAATGATTAAACATGACTGTTGTAATCAAATCAGCGTTAAAATTCATGTTTCATTTCACATACATTTATACCTTCTTGTCTCTGATGCTTTGGATTTTATTTCAGACACATGCAGAACCGGCAGTTGTCCAGCAGATGGCACCGTCAGGCTTAAACATTACTACACTTCGCTGGTTCATGTGGTTTCACCGCTGCATGATGGAGACTCACCCAGGAGAACTTCTGCTCATCACCTCTCCCCGCTGACCTCCTCTCTCCTCCTCCCTCTCTCTCCTTGCTGCTGGTTACGCTGGACTTCCAGTCGCGGCCCTGCAGGATGAAACAAACGCCTGAAGAGGAGCTCAGTAGTTATGAAGACGACCTCCTCTGAGGGCCGCTCACGATGTCACAGTAACACTGTGTAATATAATACATGTGATTCTGACTCGCTGATCCTCTGTTCTCTAGAACTACTGAGGTTTGATCCCCGGTCCAGGTCCAGGTCTCTACCTTGGCTGCAGCGGCTCTGCTGGGTCCGTGGAGCTCGTCGGGGTTCAGCAGGCGGCCGACGTCCTGCTCCTCCTCGTTGTTGTAGTTGTCGAAGCGAATACGGCAGCGCTGACCTTTGACCCACAGGACGACAGCCGGATAAACCAGGCCGTCCTCCGAGTACACGGCCCGACACCGAGAACCCGGTTTCCAGTCCTGACAGACGGCAACAAGAGGCTGAGAACTTTACTCCGTCACAGTTCTACATATGAAGCTTTTAAAATGAAAAACTCAGAATCTTTTCAACCGTTTTTTTTTTTCCTTCAATAGGCCTTAAAAAAAAGAAATAAACAAAAAACCCTGGTTCTAATTAATGGATGATTTTCACACTAATTCGTTAATTAATAAGTGTGTGTGTTGTTTTTGTTAGAGGTGAATGATTTTTAATGGATTTTAAAAAGATATTAGAATTAATTTTTTACATGCATTTTTAATAGGTATTTATGGATATTCATTCATGACGTTGGGAAAAAAACTGCGTTATAACATTTAAGGATGCACCAAATGTTCAGCCACCGAAATTAACAAAAAAAACCCAAAACACTTTGTGTTCGGCCTAATGAGTCAAAAGACCGAATACATTTTACCGAACAGTCACGTTGCCATGACGGCAGCGTGGAAGCATTTTAAATTGTTCTGCTGAACTGAACTGTCTCCAGCACATCCGCTCCATCTGTGGCTGACTTCTTAGAAAAGAACCGCTTTGAGTGTTTCTGTCTCTCCTCTGTGAGAAGGAGGTGAAACTAGCCCCGCCTACATTTGGAGTGCACACGTATTCCAGCCTTTACGGTAAGTGAAGCGACCCAGAGCGAGCTGACAGGCAGGTTAGAGACTTTATCCTGTCAGTTTGTCTCTTTAGTATGAAGAGACGCTGTGAAGTCTTCATGTTACAACATTATTTATCAAACCGGGTCGGACTGGATGGATTTAGCACGAGGAGGAAACACATTTTCAAAATAAGGCGTCTGTACAGGATGGAAATAAGATTAACTTATATTCACAGAAAGTATAAAACATGTTACATGTGTCCATTAAAAGGAAATGGACCCTCTCGGGCCCCGGACCCCCCACCATAGTCTCTCCACATCCTGTGGGAAACACTGAGGAAAAACCTCATTTTGACCATTTTATTTATGCAATATTCGTTTTCGGCCAATAATTTTCATTTCGGTGCATCCCTAAACATTATAAACCAGAGGCCCTCTTACTCGCTCTGTTTCCCCACAAAGGCCGTCAGCCGTATCCCATGACCTCCTTCAGCAAATACAACAAGGTGTCATTAGGTGGTGAAAATAGTTATCATGGGTTTTCTCTGTTAGAAGATTTTTAAAAAGTTGAAAAAGTCCATAAAATTGAACACGATAGCAGAAAACCATCCTGGAATATTCACCTTGTTTGAAAAACTATGAGCTGTAAGTTGTTGGCGGAGTACGTGATGCGTGCTGACTTTAAATGTCAAAATGTTTTCATTTAAAAGGGGACAGGGCGCATTAATGAACATGTCAGCGTAAATATACCAGATTTAGTCAGAAGGCAAATTTTCATCTGTAGGTCGAGCGGCAGGTTGTTCCATTACAGTAATATATAAAAAGAATACTGCAATACAAATAAATACAAACTGTGAAGTTATGCAGTTATCACTGGTGTCAACACTTCAGGCGTGTGCTACCTGGGAGTTTTCTCTCTGTGTTCGCAGAGCAGCGTCTGGACTTTTGAGCGCGCTCAGTTCCACGTCCTCCTCGTTGCCGTAGCCGCTGAAACGGACTCTGCAGCGTTCTCCGTCCAGAGACACCACCGTCGCCGGGTACACCCGCCCGTCCTCCGACCACACCGCCCGACACTGGGCGCCCACGGCCCACTGACAGACAGAGACAGTTTGTTCTTCACTGTCCCGCCCCTCGGCAGCCATCTTGGTAAGGCCTCAGGTACTTGGGACTAACTAAGATCAGGTCTCTGCAAACCTGCATGAAAATCTCAAACAGTTTGATGACTTTGCCCCAAAATACGCACAAGCTTTCACCAAACCGCCTTCACTTACACCTCTGACGTGACGCCACGAGCTCCTCCCACTTGAAGAAAATGCTAAGCTAACTGAGGTCATGGAAACCGTCACCGTAGACGTTTATAGACACGGTTTACTTCAAAATAACTTCTGAGGCTGTAAACGGCGTCTCCTCCCAAAACATCGCCGGTATCATTTACATTTTTATAATAATTGAGTCTAACTACCGATACCAAATTATTTTTCGTTACCTGAACTTGTTTTTAAAAGGGAAAGCGCTCAAAAGGAAAGAAATGCTGGTCCTTGGTAGCCCAGGTTTTCATCCATGCATGCGGCCGAGCACCGCTGCTGAAATTTTACACAATCATTATTAAATCAATGAGCTACTGATTTTCACTCACGCACTGCGCGAGCACGGTAACACTCGTCGCTCGGCTCGCTTCCTCTTCCTATTCTTCAAAGAACATCTACGTGTTATAACAGCAGCGAGTGTTTGATGTTCCGAGCGGCAGAAAGTGACGGTGAACGTGAGCGGAGGAAAATGTTCTGGCAGTAAATGTTCTGGCAGTAAATGTACGGTGTCTGTTACGGTGCGTCAGCTTCTAAACACCAAGAAAAGTCTGTCGTTTCCCCCCCTGAGGTTAGTGAAGCCTATTGGCTCTAGCTAACATCTCTGCTCCCCTTCAGACTGCGCAGCTTCTACAGCAGCTGCGTAACTGAACATTAGCTCAATTTATAGAGAGTAACTGGAAGCTGGATTTTATCACTGCTGACCCTTAATGTGTTGAGAACATCAGGTACAAACTGGTGCAGCCGGCAGCTCCGTCCTGCACAGACTGATTAAATTATTTTTCAGTTTTCAGTCTGAAAAGTGGCTGTTGGGAAAAGAGAGGACGGAGGTGACCGGAGGAGCTCAGGTTAGTGAAGCAAGTTAGTGATGCAAACTCGTCCTTATAAGCTGATGAGGAGACGTTTCTGTTTGGATTTTAATGTGCAAATAAAATGCAGCTCAGAAGGGAGGAGGTTTCTCATGCTGCCTGTTTTTTTATATTAATGTCTACAGATAAATGTCAGAAGCTGAACAGTCGTATCTATAATGATTCTGAGGTCACATTAACAAGGTTTTAGGGGGTGATGCCCAAAACATGCTGTGCAATAAATGTAAAATCACTGTGGAGCATCAGAACCAACCAAATTACTTTCCCCAAATTTAAAAGTTGTAATTCCTCCCCAGCAGACGGATCTTTAGCTGTTGGTTATTTATTATTGCTCGAGCTTTCCAACTATCTGTTCAGAGACAAGGTGAAAATAAGATTCTATAAACATGTGCGGTCTTACCTTTGATTTGGTACTGGAGGATTCATCTGCAGGTGCAGAGACCGTCTGTCCGTCCACCTGTGCGTTTTGTCTCCTGCTCCGGCGTCTCTATGATGTCGTCTCCTCTGAGGCTGCACATTCTGGCGGCTCAACATCCTGCAAACACACACAGAAACGCTGACGATCCAGAACACACAAACACCACGAATCCTCCTGAACTCAAGACCAAGACTTCACTCTTCACACTTAAAGGTTGACCAAGGTGCTTCACAGGTTAAAATACAACAAGACACTACTAAAAAACAATCTTCAACTTGACATGCATTCAAAATGTCCAACCGCTTTACCCAAAAACACATTTCTTTTAACATGCTGCTGCAGTCATACTTAATTTACTCAGGACTGATTACAAACTGATTGTAAAAGGTGTTTGGTCATGATATGTATAAGTATGCAAATTTTAAATGATCAAAATTCTGAAAGGAGTTTAGTGAAACGTTTTGGCATTAAAACGTTAACAATTTAAGTTACCACTTCTGACAGCGCTGGGGACAAGTTACATGTGGACGCATATAAAATGTGTTTTTATTGTCACAAATCTGAAACGGTGTTTTAAAGAAGCTTCAGCCTCTCTGGAATAATGT